CTCGGAAGGCAGGTGATGAATAAATCTCAAACTGCATATGCTTATGTTCTTTTTTTTTTTGCAGAATTCTTGATCTGGAGCTTGGTGCTTTTTTCTCGAAATATCATGTGAAGCCGATGTTGAAACAGGAAATTTGTTCATAGACATAAAATTTGTATCTATTACGGTACCCAGAGATTTTGGGAATTGTAGACTGCAATCAAATGTATTATATTTAGAGATATTTTTGTAGCTATAAAATAGTAAGCAGTATTTGTATTTCAATCAACGATTATTATCTAAAATTTATAAATTTGACAACGAAAAGGTTATAAAGAGCATGTCAGAGTGGAACAAGCAAAGTATAAAACTTGACGATTCCAACAATATTGAGCCAATCAAAAATTAGCTATTGATGTCGAGAAAAATCAGGAATCAAGAATAGATCTTATTTTGCAATGTGTCACAAGTTTACTCTATGAATCTCTTGTGAAAGCAACTTTGCATTGGTTATTTTTTTCTGATTAATTCCCTCCTAAAGCAAATTTTGCCCAAACCAGCGATGAATGCGAATTTGGTTTGCTACTACAAAGAACGAGAAGCTCAATTTACTCTTGCAAGATAAAAAGAAAAGCTATCATTTATAGTCTAAAGCTCAAAAACTTCAGCAAACAAAATTCCCAAGTTGAAGGGATCATATTGCACTTAGCTAAGCATGGTACTTTTTGGACAGGGCTAGAAATATCGGTACGAAACAATTCCATACCAAATTGGCAGTTTAGTTTTATTTTTTTTTCGGAGCTAGGCACTCCAGTGCCGGATAATTGTGTACTGACAACGATCGTGTCTAATGAATCACATTGAACAAAAAATGTATATTTGATGACAAAATTAGGAGAAACCTATTAGATGTTTTGTTCCTAAAAATCTGCTTGAAAAAATCTTGAAGACAAATTTCTTTGAATAGTATTTTCAAGTAAACTTGATATTCATATTATATTTGTTTATTTCTATGAATTCAAATCACTAAAGATTGTTGTTTAGTATTTGATTTATAAACAGAATGGGAATAAAGATCTGGATATTTTACGGAATTTTATGAAAAATTTGCGGGTTTACTTCGTGTATAAGGGGAGGCTAGCGTATATTGGGGTATTTGGGGAGGTTACATTAAGATACGGTATCGCTGCTGTACGTAGATGTAATTTATTTTAGATAAATACATAGTAACATAATTTACTATAGATAAATTATCAGATGTATGTATTAGAAAAACAGTTGGAAAACTTTTTTGACTACATCCTTCGGCAGCAAGGACTCGTTTTGTTACTGAAAGGTTTCCTGAAAAGTCTGAAAACCATTTTATGTTGTTCCAGGGTAGAAAGTTGAGTGGAGTCTAGTATCCAATAAATTTTTTTAGACAAGTTCGTAATTTTCCCAAATATTCGGCAAGTACTTTTCTGAAAGAAGCTCACTATGCAGCCGAATCTTGGCATCATTCCAAGAAAATGTACGCAGGGAGGATAAAATTATGGTGGGATGCTATGATTTTTGTAGCGTAGGAGTAATCCATCTAGTGCTGTAAAAATCGGAGAAGCAAAAAAACCGAAAAACTAAGGCAAGTTTAGGAAATATTAGTTTTGGGGGGCTTTAGCTGAGAATAGGAAGTATGATCTGGAGATTTTACGGCAAATTTATGAAAAATTTGCGGTTTCACTCCCTGTACATAAAGTATTTAAAGAGATTGCGGTAAGGATACGGTAATACTACTGTACGGTACTGAATATCCCTCTGTATGAACATTTTTGTTTCGGAAATCTTTTCGCGGATTTTTTAAAAATATTCTTACCTGCTGTGGAGTGTTCGCAGAAGCAGCCGCGCTCGCCATCGAAGGAAGACACACACAGACGGAGGCGGAGTTAACGCTCGACTGAGTCGCTGCTTTCCGTCTTTGACGTCCTCGAGAACGGGGAACGGATCGGCTTTGTTCGGAAGTGCTTTTTTACAGAATCGCTAATCGACTGTTGAAGTAAGTGCTGAGGGGCGTGCTGCTTACATGGGGTACTTTCGCTGGAGAAAAAATTCCCGAGACAAAGGTTGCATGAGTTTGAAAGCTTAAAAGCATTTTCTTTTGTCTTTGGGTTGGGAGTTGGGCAATCGCAAGAAAGAATGGAGAAGAAAGTTTTTTAGTATATAAAGTAAAGCTGCGAAGAGCGAAGGGGAAGCCCTGCATATTCATGTGCCTGAGCCCCAAAAATGGACTGATACAAGCCTTCATGAGAAAGTGACGCATAGGTAACCGTACGCTACCATCTACCTCATCCCAATCGGTTACGATCTTTGATGAACCAAGATTTGCCTCAACAAAGAGTATGAGTCTGTTTCGAGCGAAAAGTTACTGAAAAAAAGAAACTGTGGCCAAGATTTGCAGAATTCCCGAAACCACAAAACCAGCAAATTCCGGGGGTCGTAATTGTCGATGAAGTATATTCGTAAACTACCCACTCACTGGCAATTCATCAAAGATAGAAATTACAGATAGTTTTAATATAAAAATCTTTGATAATAATGAGTTGTCCGGGAAGTTTGTCCGTTTTTTCTGTATCGAAGTATCATTCTATCAAGGTTTTACCCTGTTTCTGAAAGCTACATTTAGTTTTTGAATTTTTTCGATTATTTTTATTCTCCTTTTGTAGCTACACTAATATGTTAGATAAACTGAAAAAATTATTGTTGGATTGGAACAACGCATTTTTGCATTTTAAAAGAAAAATAATCCTTCAATGCTTACATTAAACTAGCAGTCTACCAATGTTACTCTCTTCATATACTCTTTTCTACTTCAAAACCCTTCAAAGCTTTTTTTTTCGAGAGCAAGGAGAATATGTAGTTCAATCTTAAATCCCGAGAGGAACACTATAAAACTGTTATTTTTCGTGATTTCAGAAATCTAAGCCGCTGAAACACGTCTGAAATTTTACCAAGCACTTTCGTGTTTAGATTAATCATGCCATTTCTGGAATTTATATCGCTAATGCTCTTCTAAGTGTTCATAATTAATTCACGCCCCCCCCCCCCTCCCACATCTTTTTTTTATAGAACAAACCTTGTTGGGGCATTAGCGTGTGAGAGGAAAATTGGGGAGAGCACTAATCACTGTTTTCGAAGCTGGATAATTGGGCCAATTTTGAGCCAAACTAGTCGATTTCGTAACTTTATGCAGGAAATAAGGTGCAGATTTTATGCACAGATCAAATTTAGCACAAATTTCAGTGCAAAAGCTGTGAGAAAATACGCATTTGCATCAAAATTTCTATGAAATTACACCGTGATGGAAATATGGATAAATATCTGCTTTTCAAAAAGCTTCAAACTTTCTGTAAACGAAGGTGAAAATCTACATAAGCCTTATGTAATTTGAATACGATTTTAATCTGTACAAACAAAACTTTACTCAAAACTTGTTGAGATTACATTTTATCGTTAAGATTTTTGAGTTTTTCGATTTGCTTTCTCTTATTTTTGCCTGCAGCTATTGTCTATACACTAGCACATGGCCTGTTTTTGTCAGTATATGTGGGAGAACCCTAATAAGCTGTTGTTGATACGATTTCATGATTCGTTGCTAAGGAGTAGAAGCAATGACGACAAATTGTGTTTGCGCACAGTTTGTGCGAGCTTTCTAAGACATCAGGCAAAAGTCCAAGAAAGTAGGAATTTCAAAATAGCTAAGAAGAGCTTTTAGATTTATAATCGCTGTTCTGCTTAGTAGATCTTCTTCCGTCTGATGACGTGAGCTTCAACTGCTTTGATTAGAAACAGATTGTACTAGTCTACTCCAAACTTCCTTTAAAGAATTTCACCATCACTCAAGGATTTGTTGTGAAACACTAAGATAAGAGAACACAGATTGAAAGATTATCTTTAGTTTTCTATTCATTTTGAAAGCGATGATGTGGTAAGAAGAAAACTACGCTGGAGTTATATTCTCCGCTTTTTCCGAATAAGGCCACTGATCGCTCATGGACTGGCTAAGCCTAACACTTTTCTCAATACCATCGGGCACGAATAGTTCATTATGTGCCTTCGTGAAAAGTCTAGCAGCAGAAAATGTAATCTTTATCAAGAGAACTTCCGTGGGAAGGTAGTTGTTTATTCCCCAGTGATAAGTACGATTTCGTAAGTTCCAAAAGATGTCTTGAGCAAGTATGAAGCTACAGGAATTCGTCATGGATTTTTCACCGTAAATGATTTAGCTGGTACGCCAATGAAGTTTTGTCGTGTAAGTCTGCTATGATATCTTAGACGAACTACGCAATTTTTCGCTTAGGTTTGTGAACACTATTCCATAATTGGCAACATGCACTTTAGGATCTTGGTATAAATGTGCAATATCAAGTTTTCTCAGTATCATAATAAAAATTCATTGCCAATTTTTAAGTGTAGACCACCAGTCGTCTTTTCATTGCACTTGTCAGCAGAGTTGCAATTTATATGAAAGTCGCACGCTAATCTTTTTATTGCTTTGATACACGCTATTACACCTTTTTACGAGCCCAAGAAGCTTTGAATTCCTAAGGTCCTTCTCAGACAATCGACCGCATACCTCCGGCAGAAATTGCAGAGCCGCGGGGTTTGCCCAGCGGGGGTTTGCCACTCGTGCTCCGGAGCCCTCCCATTTTGTGCTCCGGAGGTGTCCCAAATCTGGCGTACCTCCGAAGCAGAGATTTGCAAGCCGGAGGGGTCCCATCTGCCTTCTTGTGACGTCACCGTGACGTCACAGAAAGGGGCCGCCCCCTCGCCCCGCTCTCAATGGTCAGTTGGGTCCTCCGCAGCTCTGCCAGATTTCCACTGTCCCCCGGAGCTACGGCACCGATTGTCTGAGTTAATTACCTTCAAGTGGTGCACATACTTGAACAAGTGAGATCAAATATATTATTGCGTCAACGAAGATAAATGTTTTTTGGCTCATCGGATCCAGTCAAGAAATTATATAACTGTTGCTCGGATGTACACGGCGTTTACTCATCCCACATTCCCAATGCTTCCTCTTCTTCTCGTCTGATAGCGTCCCTTTCACTGTAACAACAGACTCAAACAATCAAAATATTTGGTCACAGGCTCGAGAATACTTACCGCCTTGCAGCTTTTGCTTCCCTCGTGATGCGCTCAATCTCTTCACGTTCCTCTTCGGGAACGTAGCGGTTCCTGTCGGGAATACGGGGATCCTGGTCATCTTTCCATTCTTCGATGAGGTCAGGGAGTCGTTTTTCCAGTGAGTGTACTCCATCAATATACGCTTTTGCGGCTTCATCCCTGGTCATTCCTGGAAAAATCATATGCGGTCCTCAAATCTGCGAAAAAGGAAAATACAAAATAACAAAAATAATGGAAAAATCAAAATATGAGAAATAGAACATATTAAACGCCTTAATTATTTAAAGCGCTAGTGAAAGCTTCAGTGAATTTTTCCAGCAAGAAAGCGAAGAGATTATCACTCAAAATATTTACAAATCATAAAACTATTAAAATTCCAAATGAGATGTCTGATTTTCTTTTGAGTTTATTATAATTCGTTCCTGCAGTATCGTAGTCGAATTATTGATTTTTAAACACAGGTGTACTTTTGATGTTCGTAGTACTATTTTAATTCACTAGCATAATTGGTACATTGAGGCGAGCGACAAAGTATTTATATTTATTTGTTTATTCATTCACTCATTTATTTGTTTGTTTGTGAAATACGGACAATGGTTGTGTTAGAAAAAAGGAGAGTAAAAATAATTTTAGAAATGGCTGACATAATCACTAACCCACACAACGGTTCCATGCATGCCATTTCATGTTTCCTTTGATCCATCCCCACATCCAGGACTTTTCGACTGGGTCAAAGTAATCAAGCTCTGAAAGGAAGTAGTTTTTTGAAAATTTCCACGAGCTATCCGAACAAAGTTTTTGCTAAGTACTTGGTACGTTTATATTGCCAACCACAGCCTGTTGATAGAGACCCCATAGATCGTAGGTTTCCTCCTCAAACCGAATTAAAAGCTCAAATTCATGCTTGAGTACCTGCAACTTACCAATACAATGAATATTTCCAAAAGGTCGTAAAGTATCACCTGTCTTTGATCAAATCGCGCACGAAGATACTTGAATTTCTCTACAGCAGCAACGAATTCCTCAACAAATAGAGCATTATGAGGCTAGAAGAAAGCATGAATTGCAAAATTCTGCTTACCTTACTGTCTACGATTGCCATTGTGACCAACACATTCTGCAACTGCGCAGTGGACGATTATTGGCTACAATTTGTAATGAAATTGGCTAGAATGGAGCAAGAATATGCGCAGAGCTTCAATGGTATGTGTTTCGCGAATCATATGTGATGGAAGAATGGCAAATTTGAACAAATAAATAAATAAATAAATAAATAAATTTTAACCAGGGAGCGGGATTTTATATTAAATTTTGATTGAGATAAATATTGGATTATGGTAATTTGCTCCTGGAGCAAATGAGGTGCTGAGAAGTCCCTGTAGTTGTATCACGTGTTGAATTAATCCTTTACTATTTGCTTCAGAACGAATCCAATGTGTTTCCTTCCGTGCCGGGCCCTGACTATAGGCGGCTTCTAGCAGACGATATCCGTCCTTGACCGTCAAGATATGTCTCGTGACAAGAGCCCTGCAGGTGGCTCCGATATGAATTCCTGGTTTGAGAACGCAACGCATTCCCAGATTTATTGTATTCTTCGAGGGAAGCAGATCTGAGCGACTTTACGTAGCTATCGAGTAAATCCAAATTATTGAGGCATATTGTGCCTGTTCGTTTCCCTTCCTAGCCCTCTATTTCGGTGGTTCAGAGAGCTCAAACACGCCAAACCAACAACCAAGCGAATCAACAGTTTATTGGTGGCGATTACCTCAGACTTGGGTAATTAAACCCTCGTCTTTCTTCCTTTTCAAATAAAATCATAAAAATGCAAGAGATAAAAACACACAAAGAACAAAGAAATGATCAAAACGATGAAAATGAATCTCGCCTTGTTGCCGACCTCGTCGTTTTATACGTGTTGTTGTTTTCGCGCATTGCCTCATCATTCTGTAATAGACGAATGTTGAAATAAGATATCTGTGTGAAAAAGGAGTAAGGTAGAAATCGCGCTTAGAGCCGCGATACTGCCGCCCCACCTGTGTTTTCGTCTGGATAATTGAGTTCATCTTTGAGGCGCTCGAGCTTGTTTAGACCGAGTGCGTTTTTTGCGCGGACGAGTCTTCCGTAGTTGATTTTGCTTTCCTCCGGAAGTGTACAGATCGCCGAATGATGGCAATGAAAACATAGCGTAGACCATCTTCTGCAGTCTCTGTTGCCCGGGCACAACACCTCCAAACAGATATCACATTTGCTTTGATCTCTGAGGATGCGCACACGGCTTTCCACTTCTTGAACTCCTGGGCATGAATCGGAGTAGTGACGTCCGACCGCCTTGCAAAAGACACATCTCGTGTGCCTTTCGAACTCTGTGTTTATAAGCCCGTGCTGGAATCTTCGCGGAGCACATCTTGATCTGCGTTCTAACTCGTCAGTCAGTATTTTCCAGTCATTCACTTCTTGCTACACCCGGTGAATTTCGAGGTGCAACTCTTGCCTTCTAATCTGATTCAAATTTACTTCTTCATTATCATCTTCTTCCATAGGTTCTACAAGAGCCTCTTCGTTTTCGGGTGAGTTGCTCTTCGGTGGTGCAGTGGTAGAATGCTCCCTTGCCACGCGGGCGGCCCGGGTTCGTTTCCCGGCCAATTTCAGTGGTTTAGAGACCCTCGAAGAACCAAACCAACAACCAAGCGAACCAACAGTTTATTGGTGGCGATTACCTTGAAAAATTAAAGCCTCATCTTTCTTCCTTTTCAAATAAAATCATAAAAATGCAAGAGATAAAAACACACAAAGAAATGATCAAAACGATGAAAATGAATCTCGCCTTGTTGCCGACCTCGTCGTTTTATACGTGTTGTTGTTTTCGCGCATTGCCTCATCATTCTGTAATAGACGAATGTTAAGATAAGATATCTATGTGAAAAAGGAGTACGGTAGAAATCGCGCTTAGAGCCGCGATACCTGCTTTGAATTTGCCAGTAAGCGTTGCCTAATGGAAGCAGCTGGTTACTATCAAAACTACTTTGATATAACAAATGGTATTAGTTAACAAAGAGGCAATAATGCACGCAAGACGAGAGGCTGGGATCATACTGAAGGATGGTATCTGGATGTAATCAGGGCCACCGCCTAGGAAAGAATGGCTCTTCTTGGTAGAAGTACTTCGCTGAAGTTCTCTTTATGCCTTGCTTGTCTTACTATACTCTCCGTACGTACGGCTCCGCTCTGGACGAGAATAATTAGCACGGTAAACGTAGCAGCGAGTAAGCGCCGTTTAAACACCTCCTCCACTTGAAAAGAGGAGAGAGGATAATGGCCGTCACCGTCGCCCAGAGGTAACGCTGGAGTTGTGGAAGCGTAACGATGGAGTCTATGGATTCTGCCCTCTGGCTGACCCTGTTCAGGTTGGGCACTTCTTGTAAGTTGCTTTCATGATCTGGAATAAACTGCCCATGCCTACACCGAGAGGTAGCGACGTTCATTCGACGTAGAAAAATTCAGTCGTCCGAAGTCTGCAAGTGTTCGAGTGGTAGGTAGAACAACTACATTTCGTTCTCGACCCTGAATGGAATCTACCATTGCAATTTCCGCGCTTGGTTGGTCGGGGCTTGGAGAGACGGCGGAATTGCTTCTTATACAAAGTGATAACGCAAGTTGAGTGAGGAGAGTTAACTTTGCTCATACGGTGATTGATTAGGTCCCAGCTTCTGTCTCATTTACAAACTTGCTCGGGGCGAAGTCGATAAACATAAACGGGATAGTGACACTTGGGAAGCGCGTTCGATGTGCTCGGCGTGAACGCGGAATGTCCTGAGAAGAGGCGCAACCGGGACCGCACGCGCTTTGGAGATCACCGCCATGACCCTTTTAGTACCAAACATCGCTGACGCGAAAGATCGGGGCACAGCGAATCGGCCTCGAGCTGGTGTATGTCGCCTATATAGATATGGCGAATCCGGCAGTCGTATGGCAATGGCTCCAAGTACGGGCTCCAGTATTTGGAGGCCTCATCCCCGATCAAAACCCTAAGTTGCTCTACGTGGGTCTTGATGATGCCGCCTGGCCCCGCTGTGTTCAGCAGGGAAGACATGGTGGCCAATATGATGTTGGACTTGCGAAGGCGGAACATTAAAGTGACCATTTCGACATTGTTGGACACAAATCGCTCAGAAATGATGTAATCCTTCTTTTCGTCCTCCGTCATCTGAAAGATGAGGTCCGGATCCTCCAAGTACTGCCCGATCCTTTCCCTACCTAGGCGGTAATTCCTGCATAAATCCTGCTCGTCCATGTTCATCTCCTCGTCACAATCCTGCTCAAGCCGCTTCAATACGTTATTGAGATCGACCGGGATGGTAGGGGCATTGGCGGCGGCGGAGGCGTCTGCTAGGTACCGAACGATGGTGATGCCCTCAAAAACATCCAAGGCTATTAGGGTTTCTGTAAACTGCGCGACGGCAGTGGTAGTAGATGCCGTGACCAGTACCGGGGTGTTTTTTGCTAAGGTAGCTGCTATGAGGCTCCCACTACCATCTTACCCGTACCAAATGCTGCCTGGATTGCTACCAGAAGAAGGCGGCTGAGTCCAAGTGCCGTGGCAACTTGCTGATCGGGAGTCAACTCGATGCGCCTACCGTTGAGGGTGCAGCAAAAAATGGTCGGCATGAAAGATCGAGGGCACAGCGAATGCGGCAAGCTAATGTGTTGCTGATAAAAAATATGGTGAACATTCCGCAACCGTATGGCGAAGGCTTCACGTAGCTCCGCTATTTGGGGGGCCTCGTCCTCCACCAGGACCCTGAACTGCTGCATGTGGGTTCACCTACTGGCGTATTCAAGAGGAAGGCCATAGTAGGCAATATGATGTTGCGTGTGCTTAGACGAAACATCAAATTGACCATATTCTTGATGTCGTAGGAAATAAAACTTTCGGAATAATGTAATCTTACTGATCATCCTCGGTCATTTTGAAAGATGAGGTTCGGATCTTCAAGGTATTATACAATCAATTTAAAGGTCAATCAATTGATTCAAATAATCTTAAGGCAACAACAGGAAAAATGTGAATACACCAACACAGACAGTGTAACTTAAATCTTCCGGTTATCTAGTGGCAAGTCGTTGATGTATCACGATGTCGAAATGAAGGCGTTGTAGACAATGGCCTATAACTGTCGCTTACTGTTTTGTTATTCGTTTTCCATTGTTTTTGTTTGTTCATTGTTTGTTTGTTTGCTTTCCCCACGTCAACTTTTTTTTGTTCACGCACAAACAATAATGTCATTGATTCCTTTACAAAACAATTTTAGATTTAGGGTACCGCATTTACTGCTAGGAGCTCCTACTCTTACTAAACAGAAACTGCTAATGTATATCCCTTTACTACTGTAGTCAGCAATGAAAAAGTATACATGATCTACAATTTCTCACAACCAACTCTGATTTACCAGGCACTTCTAATGTAGATATAAGATGGTACAATGTCGCCAAAGTAGTGGTGGGGTAACTTCCCCTTCTGAGTTGTCTACAGCAAGAGGTGGTTGCCTGGCAAAGGGTGCATAATCAATTCCTCTCAAACAACGTTCACGTTTTTCTCCATTGTTTTTCGCCGTCTTGTCGAAAGAGCGTGGAGTTGCTAACATTCAGTTGCCAAATGCTCGCCATTGCTAAAGATGCAAGATTGTGTGGCACAAAGAGGGCTACCGCGCCGCTAAGTTTCTTTTTCAATGGCTTGAAACTTGTTGTTAATTTACCCGTCGCGGCTACGGCGATCGCTCGCGTTTTAGTCTTAGCTCCATTGGTGGTACTTTCGCTGGCACAAAGAAGGCTACGCGCCGCTAAGTTCCTTTTTCAACGGCTTGCAAGTTGTTGCTAATTTACCCGTCGCGGCTCCTGCGATCGCTCGCGTTCTAGTCTTAGGTCCATTGATGGTCTTTCGCTCCAAATCATTGTTTTGGTGTTATTTCTCTTACTTTCACTTCCATTCGGCGTTGCCTGTTTCTTACATCGTTTACTGTGTCTTGAAATAACAAGCTATCTATGTTGGATGACACTAACCAACGGGAAATATAAAAAGATAAACAGGTATAACAGAATAGTGATGATACCAATTATGGTGGCCCTTGACGCGTTGGAATCCAAGCGAACAACACAGAGCCGGTAAACTTCGCAGAAGCGTGAAGAAGCGATATCCATCAAGCTCTCATGCCCTTTTTGAAGTACCGTTTCTTGCTTGTTGCTAGATCTGCTGTGAAATATGCGGTCAAGCCGCTGCGTTCCCAGGCTTGCGCGATTTGCTTACATTTTTACGATCGCTCCGCGATATTCCCGCCGGCGTCATGGTGGCGTAGGACTAGTGTGTAAAAGCGTAAAGCGATACGTGAATACATGATACATCAATATTGACAGAATGCAGTATATGAACGATAGGCAATAGGAGGTTATCGGTGAAGAGGATGAGCAAGTAGCATTGGGAGTAGCGCTGGATCGGGACAGCATCAGCCAGAGTCGTGGAGGGGTACGGTAGAGGCGACCAGTTGGTATCAAGGCAAAGGAGCAAATCCTAGAGGCTTCGCATCGTTGGTCACGCCCTAAACATATGAGTCACGTCTTCTAACATCCCATCGGAAATGCAAATGGAGATGCGAAGACATCTCCCTTACAGCGAAGACATCTCCCTTACACGCCCCATAGCGCGCCGGGTTAGATGTACGTGCGCATCGGATGTGAGGTTCCAGCTGATTGACATCGCCGATACAGACGTGGCGAGCGTGTGGAAGGCGGTTGGCGATCGCGATCAGTAAGGGCTCTGGGATTTGCGAAGCTTCATCGCAGATAAGCGTGTCATAGTTCGGCAGGTATCCCTCGAAAAGGTCTTGGGACCCGACGCATTGAGTAGGGAGGCGGTGGTAATGCAGATGACGTGGAGCGATGGCAGACATGATGAGGGATACATCCTTCTCCGCCATGATATAATCTTCGCGTTCCTGATCTGTCAGCTCCTCGTCCATGCGTTCGCAATAATATTCGTAGCGTTCACGACCCTCACGAAAGCTACGGCAAAACGCCTTAGGCTGTGGTAGTAACACAGCAGCAAATTCATCGCCAAGATTCTTCAGGATGTTGTCGAGATCGACTAGAAGGGGATCTGGATCATCAGCTGCAGCTGTGTCGGATACGAATCGGACGATGATGAGTTGAGGAAGATGGTTAAAGCAAGGAGCATCCGGGCGAACTGTGCGACTGCGGCGTTAGTCGATGCACCACGATTTTATGGCCCATGACCAGGGCATACCTTGCAGCGTGATGGCTCCAAACACCGTTTTACAGGTGCCGTATGGAGCTTGAATGGCGACTATAGAATAATCTGAGCATCCTAATTCAACGGTCTTCTGCTGATCGTCAGACAGCACGATACGCGTATCTTTTATCATTATTGATCGGGCATCTTGCGGTGGTTACTGACATTGCCGGTATCACGGGGTTAATACTAGCTTGATGGACAGTAAAGGGACACGTACTAGGATACCCTTCAATCCAAAGTCAACGGGGCGGCCCTGTCCCATCCATTCTCAGCAGTCATACCAGAAATCACAAAGGTGATTTGCAACGGGAACACTCGGGTTGAGCGGATCACTGCATCTTTCCAGTGGGCACGACGGTCGTCCCTTTCGGACTTGTAGGCTGCTAGTGCGGAACAGGCTGAGCCAAAAAGTTGGCCCATTTGGGCAAAGGCGAGTCGTCGATTATCGAGAAAATAGTGCTACTGCCGTAGTCTCTGAGCCACATCTTTTCAAAAGCGCCAAGCTTGCTGACCGATAGCGGCAAAATACTCTCTCGCAGATGGCACGGAGCGGTATCGCGGATGAGTTTGATGCACAGCGTCTTCCTGGCATCAACATATGCTGCCGGTTCAAAAAAGCGTATTGCGGTGGACAGGTTGTATCGCGATCGCGCAGAAAGCATCTCGTCGTCCACTAAATTTGCTCGGTGGTTCACACTGTTCACCAACACCAACCACTCGACCAGTTTATTGTCGGAAACCTCAAACTTGGGTAATTAAACCTTGTCTTTCACCAATATTTTATGATAAAAAATACGACGGCGCAATATAACAAATAACATACAGCTACTACACTAGTGAAAGCTCGATCTATCATTTTCTTTGGCGCATCTCAAAATTGACTTTCAACATATTGCTTTAGCTAATTGAGTATTTTGTCAAAGGCGTGCTAGAAGCTTAGTCCTAGGAATTTTTCATACTGGCGCGCAAAGGACTAAGCTTTCAAGATTTTCTTTTTTGGACGGCATAAAAGGCGTAGTTTCCAAAATACGATAAGGCGCAATTCTCTATCAAAAATGATGTATTCCCAAATTACAATAAGGCGCAATTCTATCAAAAATGATCAAGAGAAAACGTGATGCAGGATGATGCCGTCCGATGGCTTGAAGTTGTTGCACTGATCTCGATATCTTGAATCTCATCACCGCTCCAAGTTGTTGACGTGACGATGGCGCATTAAATTCTTGATTAGTGGTTGATAAAGACATCGAATTCTTCCTCTAGTCTGCGCAGCCGCGCTCGTTCGCGTTCCAGTGCTTGGCGAGCGCGCGTCAGCCTCTCCAAAATGGGTTGGCTTACCTCCGGTAGCTCGCAGAGGGACGAATGGGGGCCGTATCTGCGACAGTGAAAACAGGGAGTAACCCATTTTCGGCATTCTCTTCCGCCTGGACACAACAATTCCAGGCAGATTTCGCATTTTCTGCGTTCTGCCAGGTACTCCCTGCGGCCAGCCCCGTTCGGTATTACCGGACAAGAGTCCGAGTAATGAGCGCCCTTCTGACCACAAAATGCGCATCTCATAAAGCGCTCGTGGTCCCGAACGGTTCCCCCCCCCCCCGATAGAGTCTTCTGGGTGGACAGGTTGGGCGAGCCTCGAGGTCTTTGATTATTAGCTCCAGGTCCTCTATGGCTTGACGCACCTGTTGTATTTCCAGCCGCAATTATCGGATCCGAACTACATCGAGGTTCACCCCCTCCTCATCATCCTCTTCGTAATCGACCACCTGGGTGATATCAAAGGAGCAGATAGCTGGAGTGATTATCACGGAGTCGGGCGCACCTGCGAAAGCTGCCGAAAAACTACTAGGCAGGTTGTACTTGCAGAAGATGCGGATAACGTGTCCCATGACAGAGTGAGCTTCCTGAGGAGTGACGAAAGAGGAGAGGGATCGCGCGCGAGGGACGCTGCTTTTTTCGCGAGCGCCAATGGTCATCGTGCTGAGCCAGTAGCACTGGTGAAGGGTTCCTTACGGGCGCGGCGGGTGCGGGAAACGGCACCGAACTAGCAAGCGAGCACTGCAAACGCACTTTCCTGGAGTACTTGCTATATTGCTTTGTCTCTTTAACGTCGAAGTGTCCGCCAATATTATGCGTGCTTGCTTCCCCCTTACTGTCGGATGGTCGCGCGCTCTCTCCGTTGCGCGTTGCCTCCTCACCTTTGGTCACTTTCTGGGCCAATGCACCAATGCCGGCTCAAAAGCATCCATCAAGCAGTATTAAAAACGCGCAAACACAAGCGACAATGCAGTATTCAATATATAGTCATTCAGTAACATCCTTCTTTCCTAGAATTTATTCATAGCGGCAGCAAAATGAAATAGGAATAAATAGCAGAGTACAGGCAATCTGTAGTAGACGCTCGAATGTAGCGATCAATGGAGCGATGAGCAATGCGCGCTGAGTTGCACTCAAAAGAAAGAAGCAAAACATTGGCGGCCTTCATTCAAACTATTCGCCAAGATTGCGCGATAACGCTTGCTTACATTCTTCCAACTGCCACAGCTCCTCGATTCTTTTGAGAATTCTGATCGCTGAGCAATAGTTGCTATTCAAAAACTACACGCTATTGCAAATAGTTTTACAATGCTAGTGACGTAAAGCAAAATTGAAGGACGATACAAAACGTTCAAGATTCGGGTGTGAATTGCACTTTCGCAAGCGTTTTCTCCTCTCTATAGCTCAGATTGCAAAAACTAGATAAAGTTTTTATGGTTAGACAATTTGATTCAAAGCTGGTAAAACTCTATTTTGCGTCTTATTGACGATTTTGTTCCATCTCCTTGTTTTTGCATGAACGATAGTAATTGTATTCCATGTAAGAAAATTTTGTTTGTAGTCACAAGTGTGGAAAGAAAAGAATACTGCCTCAGGAAGTAGAAAGAATGACCACAGACTGGACAGTTTTCTTCTCGATTTTGTACCCCATATTGGGAATGAAAAAATTCGAAAAACAGCAGAAAGTTCCGAATTAAATGTGAAGAATGGATTAGGATTGCTAGTTAACACTTATGGCACTCGAATTTGAACATTGAAAAAAACAAAAAAGCAAAAAAAGATCAATACATATACAAACATTTTATAAAGCAATGAACCTGAATTAAAATGAAAAGGGTTCAGTTTTCTTAGCGCAACTCAATTTCCCTCATTTTTCTTTCTTAAAATTTTTTCCATATGCTCAAAACCATACTCTAATGAATGTCCCCTTGGATACCTCACTGATGTATTTCTCCCAAAAAAATGAGCAGAATTGCATATATGATACCTATCTAATACTTTTATACAAGAGATAGGACTATAAATCCCCATGATAAGGTAGATCATTCAAAGCTTGCTCTTCAGTATAGTCAAATCCTCCCACTTCCGCAGATCTGCGATGCCATTCTTGTACATCGTCTTCCAATTCAGTCGGTGACAGCTGTACTTCCTCCGCGAAGGCGGTGTCCCTCCTTCCGCTGAGTTCTAGCTGATCCAATGCTGGTAGCTGAATTATGGTCAAAATATAAGAGGGGATGGAAAAAAGAAGCATAAAGTAGTGAACGTGGGATTTCTAGCAAATAGCATGGCTTCCAAAAAATTTACAATTTGCTTCGTTTATTAACTATTACAACCAAAGCATGGAATTCTGTCTGCTTTAGTGCATGAAATTTCAAAAAGGGTTGAGAATGCGGAATTCTATTAAAAACATGAATTTTCTCAACGATATAAATTCTCAGTTTGTTCAAATATTCACTCAAAGTTGTTACTCACCAGATTATTCCACAATTCCACGCTTGCCAGATGGAAATTCGAATCCCATTCTACTGTGCCATCAGCCTAGAAAATTCAAAACAGTTCACATTGCCCAGATGTCGCCCGCTCCATTGGGCAAATTTATGGCCTTGATTTCCCCTCGAAGAGCAGTTACTTGAGGTAAACTGATACATTGAGCATTGGGGCACTGATCAAAGGCTATAAAAATTTTCCAAGAAGAACTATGAGAAGAAAATTGCTGAGTTCACACAGTTGCGCTCGACAGAAAGTAATTTCGAGTTTAAGAGGAGGGGAAAGGTCGAGGGGATTGCCACACAGTTTTCCTTCCGAATTTAAAAAAAATTTCATGAGTTTCAGCGCATTTTTTGAAAGCTGGTGATTTGGAATGCGTACGCCTCAAAGAAAAGTTTGTACAGAGCTAAATTTTCTACATCTCTGTAAATTATTCTAAATTCGATATTTACGTGCTATTTATTTTACTGACTTTTTATCGTCAGGGCCCGGCACGAGGTCGGCAAATGACAAGCTGGAAATCGTTTTGGGGCCAAAAAGCAAAGGGGAAACGTTTTTGCGGGGTCCGGGGCGGAGCCCCGGAAAAAAATTGGTAGTTCATGCTCGCTATAGGGGCCTGCAGGATCGCGAGAGTCGGACGTGCGTACGGCCATTGCGGCGCGCACGTCGTATGTCACTGGGTCGTACTCGATTTAGGCTGGATAGGTGAGATTTTTTTGTTTTTCTTCTCATTTCTCGCCTTCTTTTCTTTTCAGGCGGCGAACATATGCTGGTGCAGAGGAGTTTAAGATCTAGATTAAGGTGAGGTGCAGGATTATGCTCAATACGGGCCAATATTGTGGACTTTTCACCCCTGCTTTGAAGAATGTTGAGTTTTCTGTTCTGGCTGTCCGATTATGTTCGATTTTTCGTCCTGCCTGCCCGGTTACGAACTCCGTTTTATTTGCAACGTCTGTTCTACCTCATCTTGCATCATGCGCCTCATCACAATCATAATCATTGTCATCATCATCATCATCATCACAAGCAATATGCAAGATAAGGTAGAATAGACGGTAGAAATAGAACAGTTTGCTGTAACAGGGCAGCCAGGACAGAAAATCCAACATCTCAACCAGCAGGCATGGAAGGTCTGCAATATTGAGTCCGTATTGAGCATAATCCTGCACCTCACCTCAATTCAGATCTTAAACTCCTCCGCACCAACATGTGCTCACCGTCTGAAAAGAAAAGAAGGCGTGAAATGTAAAGAAAAACAAAAAAACTTACCTATCTAGCCTTAATCGACTACGACCCAGCGATATCAGGCGTGCGCGGCGCAAAGGCCGTACGCGCGTCCGACTCTCGCGATCCTGCAGGCCCCTATACTTATCTTGACATGTTACGTGCCTCAACAGGCGAACACTGGAGTTCGCGCGCGTCAAACCGCGCCGTCGCTAATTGCCGCACGCGCGACGTCGCCCAAGCGATGCTATTTGTAATTGCATACATGACTAGTTCTCAATGTATGTGTAACGATATGGCACCAAATTTTGTATGCGAACAGAGAGAGGCTAGTGGAAACATAGTATGAAAAGTTATGAAAAACTTATGTGAGCGGAACGAGTAATTATCATTTTTTTCCGAGAATTTCGCAAAACTGGTAAATGAAGATGTGAATTCAAACGGCTCGTTTGGAACGCGCAGATGAACGATATGGTATGAAACTTAGTAAGTACATGCACACGGGCTTGCAGGGCTTAACTGAGGAGTTTCATTGAAAAATTATGTGACTGGAGGTTGTGGCAAACTTTTTTCTGAAAATTTTGCGCTACCAAAGAAATGGAAAAATGGCTCGTTTGCAAAGCAGAGGTAACGAAATCGCGCGGGTTTCGGTGTGTATATGCGCAATAGGACTAAGTAATAAAGTATGAAATATTATGAAAAACTTATGTGAATGAAGAGCGTGCTTAACTATTAGGTCGTTTCATAAATTCGTAGACTTTTTATTTCAGTACCCATTTTTTGATGAAGCGGTTGGTTTACGGCAAGGTACCTGTACTATTCGAAAGAGCTAATCACGCTCTACAAGAAATGCTGTTCGTCTCCGGAGCAAACCTAAATCGCTTTGTTCTATGGCCTTTCAAAGCAAAGTTTTTTGAGGGGCAAAAACTGGTGTTTGCGGCACCTGCAACTTTCGATTTATATATGAAAATCATAAATGGAAATTTTCGTCCAAAATTGTTATAAGTGATGAAAAACAACTGTCTACGGGACTATGGTGCATATAAAAGTAGTCTATTCATCCAAAGAGACATTATGGAGAAGGATAGAGCGCACTTCTACCATATGTGTAGATGTACTGCGTTTGGTCCAGTTTAGAGAATTTCCTACTCCAAAAAAAAATTGGTAAAGCGTCAAATGTTGGTTAGAGCTTGTATTCATACATCTACACCACTTAGAAGAACCCATCCGTTCGTCAAGGCCCGATAGGAGGACCGACACATTCTGTCGTTAAACAGCGCGAAAGTCTTAAGCGGTAGCAGACAAAGACAGCACCCAAGGAAGCCCTGTTTACACAGTTCTTAGCATATTGGCGTGCTAAAAATTTATCAGTATACTAGTCTTGCTTGCTACTATTCATTCCGCTCACACACGAGGATAAAATTTTGCAGGATATGGACCAAATATGGAAAACGCAGTTGCCGCAATCGCCAGTTTGTGCCCCTCAAAAAACTTTGCTTTGAAAGGCCATAAAACAAAGGGATTTAGGTTTGCTCCGGAAACGAACAGCATTTCTTGTAGAGCATGATTAGCTCTTTCGAATGGTACAGGTACGTTGCCGTAAACCAACCGCTTCATCAAAAAATGGGTACTGAAATAAAAAGTCTACGAATTTATGAAATGACCTAATAATTTCCAAATTAGGTCGGCATTTGCCGACCTAATTCCCACCTGAGGTCGGCAAAACTCTCATTTCACATAATTTTTTCAAAATTTTTACATAAATCTGTTGTACACCTAAAGTTTACTACATGGTGAAATTTTGGTTCCGAAACTCCTCCTCTTGTCCTTGTTAGAGCCCAAAATCGCATCAGCAGCCTAGCTTTCTAAGATAGAAGCGCGCCCCAGTCAATCGATACGCGCGGGAACGGCGTCTCTCATTCCTATGACTACGTTTCTTTGATATCTTCTCATTCCTTAATCATTTGTCTTGCTTATTTTTCTTCCTGTTTTCTATTTTGATACAGCTGAGGAATAATTTGAGGAATTTGAGCAATTTGGGCGCTTTTGAGCGCTTTTAGGCGAAGTGTGGCCGGTAATCTCGTCGCACAAGCACGAAACGTCATTTTTGGGCTCAAGGGGGTATTCGTAAAATTTATTGGGATCAAAGGGGAATTCGTTTTGGAAAACCCCGTTTGCCCACCTCGTGCCGGGCCCTGTTTATCGTTCGTGTTGTTGATACCTAAGGTAATGCCTGTAAATAATTTGAATGGATGAAATGGAATTATCTATACTACTTGCAAATAGCTGTGCGTCCGTCAGACCTTCACCCCATGTAAAGTCACTATTGAAATTCTCGGACTCTAGAGGGAAGTAACAATCAATAACTTCGCAATTTTTGATTTAGAATTCAGCTCAACCCCAAAACGGAAAAAACAAGTGTCTTACCTTGAGAATAACGTGATAGTCGCGCTTCGAGGTACCCATTGCAGGCCAGGTTGGATTCGTTGGCTCGCAGCTATTTTTTGTTGGTTGTCTAAACCAGTTTCATGATATAAACAGGAAAAATGAAAAAATGACTGACCCTTTGATAGCAAATCTCGTGAAGTACTGGAAAATTTTGTCACAAAATGGCTTGATGTCTTCCCAACCTCCATCTTGAAGGCAAGATTTTGGTGGGTTATCAATGCCATACTCAAGCAAATACACAGGATTCTGTAGAAAAAAAGACTTCAAGCAGCTCCACTGGCTTATTTTTCACATTTCAAATTATCTGCAAAAATAATGTCGAGTCAAATGTATAAGTTCTGTTACCTCGTTTCTTCTCAACTCATTGACAAGCTTTTGCGTTGGGGCTATGAAATCACGGTCATATATGGCCTAAATAAATGAGGATGGTGAGTTTTTGATAAAATCATTAAACAAGAACAACAACAGAAAACAAACTTTTCTTATTTGCTCAAATAACAAGTACGTATTCTTCTTATCTCCTTGAGTGTAGATGTAATGATGAAGAATCATTCTTCGCAGTAATGGGGCATTTCTAAAGAAGGAGAAAATGTTGCTAGTTGCAGCAGATCAAAAACAAGAAGTAACGAAACGTGACTGTTTGTCCTCTTTTATAAAATTTGTAATTGTACTTGATCATAGTAGTTTTACTAATTCTGTTATCTCTGGATTTGGAAATGCAGTAAGCTCCAAAAGCTACCAGGACCACACTAGCTAAAGATGGGATATGATTAAAAGTAGGGACCTTAGGAATTTTCATGTCTAAACTTTAAAGCACCTGAAAATATTCAAAAATATTTATAGCACTTGAAGTAAAGTTATTCGTACCTGTATATAGAGTCAGGAAGGAGACCTGCGAGAGCTTTCTTGAAGTCGACATAGCTATAGTTTTCGTCAAAATTTGCATCCGTTGGATAATCTAAATAAATATATATCGAGGTAAAACTTTTCGCTATTCTTAAAACTGCACCTCGAGGTAGCTGTTTATAGACTCCTAGGATTGTGGGAATATAGGGTTGCTCGAGAGGAGGCGATCGGAAGGGATTTCCAAAAGGATAAAATGAAGACTGAAGCATTGCGAAATAAATTTCGTATTCATACATTAACTTTTTTCACTAAGTGGATGTGATAACTTGAAAAATTATCGTAACCTTACCGAAACTTTTTTCACAGTCTTTTGAAGCTCCGAAAGTGACTTTGACCGCAAGCAATCGAGAGATTGGGCAGATGAGGGTAAATCACACTGGAAAAATAGCAAAAGATTTTAGAATGTGTTTGGAAAATGAACTCTTATCGCCAACTTTTTCACCTACTTCTAAATCTGCAACTATTCTATAAGTGAGTCGAGATGAAAATCGGTCCCTCCCAATAGTCCTCGTCTTCGCATTACCGTTAATCAAAATTGCTCGATCAACACCCAAATAGAAATCTTCATAAGGTATTTGGAAGAACTGTTCGATACCTGCTTGAGAAAGAGCCGAAGCAAGAGTCTCAGCCTCGAATGACTCTGCCCATACAGTAATCTCTCCAACATTGAAGAGATCCGCGTTGTTTTTGAGAAACTTTACTGCATTTATGACGTCGCTTATTCCATAAGAACTGTTAGCAAAACTGCCTAAAAGTCTTTCTCATTAGCTTGTGTTGTCAAATATGTCAAACAGAAGAAAGCAAAAAAAGAAAGACCTAGCAGTCCACTTCTGATGGCTGCCACACCGATGTTCAATGGGGACGACACTAATCCAATCAATTTCTTCTCGCTCAATTCTTCATTCGTGATGATCAGAAGTGTACTTCGCTAAAAGTATTGATACTCATCCGCAGAGTGAGGAAAAACTTCGACATCAAGAAAAGAAGTTTGTCTCGATGCAGTTTCTCTACAGAAAGCTAGTGAGAATAATCTGTCAACGAGAAAAAAACTGAGAACTCTGTTAGATAGAGTGCAGACAATTTGTACCGATTGCTGATAAAGTACGATTTCCTTTTCTTAGATTCTTTAAAAGTTATCTTAAGACTGGAGTACGTTGGTGAAGCACTCTTTGCAGAACGTAAAGAAAAATCTTATTTTTAGATGAAAACTGGTAATTGTACTTCCGTTTAAGAGCTGAAAAGTTGAAGTCTGAAATCAAAGAACTTTTTTGCGATATAAGATATAGATGTGAGAAACTGCAGAATGTTTATTCAGAATTATCCTCGCTCGAAAATCCTAATTTGAAATTTTGCATTTGAAGCAGCTTACAAAAAAGCCATAATTCATGGTTCATATGCACAAACCTTTTCTGAACTTTTCTTCCTGTGAACAAGCAGGCTAAGATAGAGGCAGTCCTCGTTACCTCCTTCATCCAGGTATCCTGAACATCCTTTCGGCCATTCCGTATATGTACCGGTTTCATCAAAAGAGGCTATCTCGGATTCCTAGATTTGTAGAGAAGAAAATAGTCGTTGCAATTTTTTAAAATCTGATGTTCAGACGCTTTATATTACGAGTATTACGGACTTTCAATAGGAAGCTATTCATCTAATTCGCAGAGATCAAATGATTTTTGTGCAAAAGAGCCTTCTAATTCTTTACATCCCTTTCCGAACTCTCTAGTTTTCAGATTTACAATGGCAGTCATAGTAATTATTTTTCTGAGCAAAAAGAGGATCTTTTTTCGGACGTCTAGCACTACACTCCAAAGTCTTCGAGCAGCTCCTTGGAATTTCTTAATGTTCAAATTTGAATAATTTCTAGGTTTTCAGATTTGTTTCACTAGGGAAAAGGAATCAGTGGCGCATTTTTACAATTCACTTGATTACTTTCAGAAATTTGCAACATCTAATTAAAAAAGAGGGGTTTGGAGAAGAGTGAAATTTTATTCCCAGCACCCCTCGGTTCCACCACTAGTCAATTTATATTCAAATTTTTATGATCCTCCCCTCACAATCACGAACTATTTTTTCAATTCTTTGACTCACCTTGAACCTAAGATCCTTGATAGGTGCTTTAGCATATGGAATACCCAGATAACCAACAACGACTTCTGATAGATCTTTTCCTTCCAGCGCATATGATACTACGCTACATCGTAAGAGTAAGAATAGAGGAATCAACATTTCAAATCGATGAGATGGACGCTGCAGTAGCTTCGAGGAAGGATGTGAAGCAACGCAATGCTCATCCTTACCAGCTTATCAGCAATTCTTATCGAGCGGGTCATAGCTTTGCAACTTTCTGTCGTCAACATTCGTTAAATTACCACTGTGCTGGATGGGATGAACCTTTTTACGCTGGCAAATTAGCAAGCGCCATATGAGGTTATTTTTGGTCAAAAAATGTTGTCGGATCACTCTCATTTCAACTGATACTTGAACTAGGATTGAAAAAAAATTCAAGACTGATTTACCTTTCTAAATCACTTCGTTAAAATTCAATCGAGTTTTTTGATGTTTACTGTGATGGTGAATCCAATTCAAGATAAAAAATTTTTAAGTATGTGGGTACTATGATCGGCTTCCAGATTCGTGTAGAGGCGGGTTGCGGACTTCCCTGTTTCCAAGGATAAGCTTGACGAGAGAGTACAAGATACAGTGCTATAGCTTGGAGGTTTAAGAATTCATCCTGAAAACCAAGGATGTCCGCAAATGCCTCCACACGAATATGGGAGACGATGATATCTTTGACATAATTATCAATGAACTTCTTTACACGTATGACTAGAATATGGTAATAGGCTTGTTATTGGCACTGCTTACTGGAGAATAAAATCCTAAGAGAAATTGAAAAGCAACTGCCTTTTGGAATTGAGTACATGAAATCAGTTGCAAGATAATTGGCCGAAAGATTGAGACTCTGTCGTCATTAACAAAAAGACACCACACACAATATTCAAGTCAAATTCACTTAGTACTAGATGGCAAACCCGGCTCCGCCCGGGGCCAAACTTTGCACACATATACTTCGGGGCAGGGAGCGTGTCATAGGCTACTTTTCGTTATCGATCGATATCGGTTTTATCGATTTTTTGCAAAATTTGAGCTAGGGGGCTGGGATTTTGCACAGGGGGGTAATCGAACATGCTGATCCCCCCCCGTGGGGGTGATCAGCATGTTCGATTACCCCCCTGTGCAAAATCCCAGCCCCGTAGCTCAAAATTTGCAAAAAATCGATAAAACCGATATCGATCGATAACGAAAAGTAGCCTATGACACGCTCCCTGCCCCGAAGTATATGTGTGCCAAGTTTGGTCCCGATCGGTTCAGAAATAAAAATTTCTATTCCGCACATACGTACAGACAGACATACAGACATACATACAGACAGACATTCAGCTTTATATATAAGATTTCTTAGCAACCGAGTAAACTGTGAATGGAGCATATTAACTTTTCAACGAAAAACACATCCTAAAATATTTTACTCCAAGAGACTACGATTTTAGGACACTGTTATTCCACTTTTAATATTAAACTCTCGAATGGAACTTCTTTGATTTTCGAATAAATTTCCATTGGATTTTCAATCTAATTTTCTGATTACATCACACAATCCAATTAATCAATCGTCTTGATTTCCTACATACTCGATCGTTCGAAAAATTCATCATCTTTATTGTAAAAGCCAGCTTTATATTCTGGATCAGTGACTCCCATGATTCTACTCATCAGCGAAGATGTACCAGCAATCCCATTCTCTCAGTTATGATTTTTACAGCCATACACTCGAGTAATAAAAGCCAGCTGTGCGATAATAGTAAACAGCTGAAATTAGGGAAGAGATTCATTGATGAGAGTAGATTTGTTCTTTATCGCTTGCTCACAATGAAAGATTGATTTTTAGCAATAACTTTTACATAATTTATGCACAACCTCAAGTATAAATAAAAATCTATAAACATCATCATTCAACTTGGCAAGTATTATTAAACCGATTGAAATAGGATCACAGAATAAAATCGGCCTTTCACATAACGTGAAGTTCAAACAATTCAACTAAAGCTCGTAGAGACATAATATGCTCTCAAGCACAAATGGGTCAAATGCATAAACCAGACTTATAAATGATAAAATTTGAGATAAACTGTAACAACATCAAAAAAGAGAATACATAACTGCGTTAGACCATCTTAATAGACCGTATGAACATTACAAATTCAAGTGAAGGACTTTTTACACGTTCAAGGAGAGCTATTGAACAAAGCAAACACCTGTTTTTAGATTATTACGAACACTTAATCAGCAAGAGCGTAGAATGAGTACATCTCTGCGAAACTCTCATGATTACCTGAAGATAACTGTGCGCAAAGCATCCTCCTCATGCACTTCCAGCGAAGCTTCAGCGCCATCGTTGAACTGATAAGATACGCCTCCATCAACGACCTGAAACCAAAAGATTGATTTTCGAAGTGGATAGACGATCGAGAATAAACTACGCCACTATATTATCGGTTGTGTGCCGATGATATGTACACGGAAAAAGGTAACAATTCAAAAAAGTAGAAAGTAACACTAATTAGATGTATTACTCGGTAAAGTCTAGCGATATGTCTTTGCATGGTATGGGCTTTTTTTGTAAGGTTACAGTAGGTTCACGGTATGGGTTCTCATGCTAAACAAGAGAAAAGGAGGTTAATTTGATGGATGAATATGATATTCGTATTTGGCAGAGCAAATAGCCCAACCATGCAAAGTTCTGTCGGATAAGGCTTCGATTTCTTAGTGATTGACGCATGTCCCCAAGCAGCTTTGCGTACAGCGGCTCGTTCAACTTTGTGAGAAAGCCAGGTCTTGAGTTGTCTTCGAATTCTAGTTCTTCCTTACTGCGCTAGATGAGTCGAGCTCTAGCAACAATATGTTCACACTTTTGGATTCTTGTGCATGGTCTACGTAAAGAACGGCTTCATTTTCACTCAAATCCTCATAATTCCTCAGATTTCACAAGTTTTCGCAAAACTCTCGGAATTTTACTATTTTGTCATCAGGAAGCGAGCGGTTTGTGCCATTTCATAGCTAACACCGAGTCTATAAGCTCCTGCAAGACGAAGGCGGTCGGTTCGATGTGCAACGCGGCTGCGACACGGCTGCGTCACAGCCGCGTAACAGCCACGTCACAGCCACGTCGCACATCGAACCGACCGCCTTCGTCTTGCAGGAGCTTATATACAGTGTTAGAATTTGACTGCGCCAGTATCAAAAAGCGAAAAGTTACGGACTCAGTTGCAAAACTTAGTTAATAGCAATTGATAATTCAGCAAACTTTCTCATTTTCACTCTTAGCGTACACATACCGTAATGCCAGGAAAACAGAAGCCAGCACTCCTGGCGCAGTCTTACTTATGGCACGAGCCATGTATCTGCCCCCACCCCCCACCCCCCTAGACTGGCGCCGTGCCACTTTAGCACCGGGCAGTTTCATGGGGTACAAAACTTAGACGCGACGTGCGCGGCGAAGCGGCACGGCGCGCGGCGTGACTCCTGACATGGAGCCTACCGCAAGCACACAAAACAGCGCGGTATACGTAAGGTAAGTGTGAAATTCGCGGGATCTGGAAAACCTCCCCATTTGGAAGGATATTTCGAGAATAAGACACTCTCTTGCAAGATGTTATCCTTAGATGAACAAAGTCGTACCAGATGCGCATCGTATCCCCGACTTTTGACGAATATCTTCTCAGCGAACCCGCGAGGAGATACTGGAGGAAATGTTGCATTGAAGATAGGGTCTCGTACAGAAAATGCCATTCCTAAATCACCACTTTTATCTTACTTTTATTTTATTTGAATTTGGTAGCCAAGGAAAAACTTACTTTGAGAATCAGGAGAGAATATCAATTGCTGATTGAACTTTGTGCATATGTCGCTGACGACTTGCTCATTATTGAATGGAAGGTTGACCTAAATCCTCTGTTTATAAAGGGGATACGCGCACTACGGTAACTACCTTGCATCGTTCCGCTGCTATACGAAGCAGTTCAGAAACACATTGGTCCGTCAGTTTGTTTATGTTGAAGTACCAGGATGTAGAACCCGTTCCTTGAAATTTTAAATAAAGAAATCTGCATGGAATGCAGGGAATAGAAGTAGAGATTCAATGCAAGAAAAATGTTTCAACAAAAATTTCAACTGCTAAAAGGATGAAATCGGATGCGTACCAGTGCAGATAGCGATTCCACTACTTTTCTGTCTGACCATCGCACTTTTGTCGATTTTTATCTCGTAGTATGATACACGGGATGATAAGCTCTCTCCAATGAATACCTCATTGAGAGCTAATACAGGTAGCTGCACTGTCACCTTTTTCACAGACTCACGAGAGCCACTCCTGGAATTACGCAATTGTTGTATTCGATACATGAACGATAGCCCACAGCCACGCTTCTAGAATTTGAGAAGGAAATCTTATATATAAAGCTGAATGTCTGTCTGTATGTCTGTATGTCTGTCTGTCTGTACGTATGTGCGGAATAGAAATTTTTATTTCTGAACCGATTTGGACCAAACTTGGCACACACATAACTTGGCACTTGGCACACAGGGGGGTAATCGAGCATGCTGATCAACCCCTCCGGGGTGATCAGCATGCTCGATTGCCCCCCTGTGCAAAATCCTAGCCCCCTAGCTCAAATTTTGCAAAAAATCGATAAAATCGACATCGATCGATAACGAAAAGTGGACTATGACACGCTCCCTGCCCCGAAGTGTATGTGTGCAAAGTTTGGTCCCGGGCGGAGCCGGGTTTGCCATCTAGTCTATTATAAGATTTCTTGATTTGTCGAGCCAACTTATACCTCTGAATCTATACCTATAATACCTAATCAATACCTCTGAATAGGGCATCATCAAAGAGTCAGAGATCTAATGGAATCGTAGGCGGCACAATAACATGGTTAAACTGAGACTTATGTGAAAGTCCAAGGAGGAGAAGAAGGGGAGGGGATGCTCAAGACAAAAGTGACAAAAAACGAAAAAAATTAGGATTGACACGGTAAAAAAGTCACACACAAATAATCAAAAGTGTTTGCTGAACCAGAACTCACTTCGATTTTTTGTCCTCATTCAACTCCTCGTCGAGTGAATTATCATGAGAGTCTTCCTGTGGAGATGGTGATGGAAAGGGTGCAGGAGGACTGGGAATATTGTGCGCATCCATCCATCGAGTCGTAGATGGAGCCTGGTTGAGCTGCCCATCATTCAATTCCACGGAGTTACCGATTCCTTGTTGAGGTTCCCCGCTAAGAGTAATGCGGATACGTTGGCGGAACAGCCAGCTAGAAAAAACTCTGTGGAAGGTGCATGAGAGTAGACGACAAATACCTAAAGTCTCCACTAAATAGTCGCTGCAAGGCCTTTTTGAAATGATCCTGTGACAGCTTTCTCATCAGACACATGTAACCTTCAGATCTGAAAAAGATTACGAAAGCGCTGATATAAGCTGTACAATGCCAGACGCACCCTTGAGGATCGGTGTTGATTCCTATCACAGGTATATCCTTACGTCGAATCCGTGAAGCGGCAAGTAGAAATGTACCATCTCCACCTGCCGTCACTACTGCATCTGCCCAACTCACAGCATCGTCTGTGTAGTCGACTCGTTGGACTACTCGCGCCTCGACCCCAGCAGCTCTAAGGCCACAAAATCTTTGATGCTCTATCAACAGGAAGTACAAGCAGATGAACTTATACTAAGCACTTTTAGCCACTAGATTAAAATAGATCAGTCACAATACATTTGGCACGTTTACAAAAGTTACTTTCCCTCGACATTTGGCACGTTTACAGGAGTTACTTTCCCTCATCTAACAACGGAGGGATGCTCAATCGAAGTGGCTTTTAGAGATGAGATGCACACCATCTTGGAGGTTATGAAGCGCTGATTTTAAATCCGTCTTCCCTATCCGCGTAGCGTTTCTGCGCGATGAGAAACGAGGGTTTGTATGTGCACTGAACGCGCGGTACTATTCCACATAAGTTGACCCAAAAAATGAAAGTCGTGAATTTCGCTAAAACTTCGTCTAGGGGGGTTATTTGGTATGCTGAACACGACTATGATGTTTATTTCGTGCGACAGCGTCATCCGGTGGAGTTACGGTAGGACTAGGTAAAGGGTCAAAATCACGGATTTGCCCGAAACTTGGCCCAGAGGGGCTATTCGGCCCGCTGATGCCAAATATCACATTGGTTCTGAACCGTAGTGTCATTTTCTTGAGTTACGGTAGCTGCACGGTAACGAGTGTAAAACATAGTTCTGCCTGAAACGGGTGCACGGTGATTCGGACGATCGTGAAGCTTTGCACACACGACCACCGCCGCGCTGCACACCCTGCTGCGGCTTTTGCCTAAGCAAAGTACAGGGAAAGGATACATTTGCCGATGATTCTGACCTTTACCGTAAACCTACCGTAATGCAGGGAGACGTTTTCGTACGGCGAAAGTGTAACATTTCTTATCAGCATGTCGAGTAACCCCATTTTGAGATTTTGACCCCATACCGTATACCCACCGTAACCCGTGAAAATGTCGCTACGGTACAAAACCAATGTGATATTCAGCATCAGCGAGCCGAATTACCCCTCTGGGCCAAGTTTCGGGCAAATCCGTGGTTTTGACCCTCTACCGTAGTCCTACCGTAACTCCACCGGATGAGGCTGTCGCACGAAATAAACATCATATTCGTGTTCAGCGTGCCAAATAACCCCCTAGACGAAGTTTTAGCGAAATTCAAGACTTTCATTTTTTGGGTCAACTTATGTGGAATAGCGCCGAATGCGCCACCTATGTAAAATCGCTCGTGATATAATTCCTAGACCTCAAATGCAGTAGTGATGATTGTCAGAGCAGTCCGTAAGATAGATACTTTTAGCATCCTAGTTGTACATTCAATTTTTTGTACAAACTCTCATCGTTCAGACATGCTCCGCAGATAAGGAAGGCAGATCCGAAATCAGTGCTTCATGCCCTGCATGATGGTATGCATCTCATACCAAATGGCCACTTCGACTATACATCTTTTTCTTGTAATAAATTCAAAAAAGTTGTGCGAGATGACAATAAACTTAAATACAATGGATGGGTAAAATGTAAAAAAGTAGTAAGTAAGACCAAACATGAAGGTAGTAAATAAACTTACTCAAGTTCAGACCGAATAGTCTTCAAGTAGTCATAGTGGCTCTGATGCTTAGAGTATAATAGATGGTAGTCAGAACCTCGACGTTTCAACTAAACTTGTTGCATTACACAGAGAAACGAAACATCAAGTAGTAAACTTACCAGGTTCTCTAATTCCCTGTCGTCGCCAATATTATGTAAGCGCTTCTCGAATTCAAACCGGGTAGTCTTACTCAGAATAAGGACTTTCTTTGGCCGAAAGGTTGGCATCTAAAAATGAATGTCAGCATGAAAACCTATGTATAAATCTGCTTTATTTTCTATAACTTTTTCCTGAAATACAAATTGTAGCTATTCCCCACTGATGGTGAATCAAAAATCATAAAAACTCAGTGCACACTGGGTACCACAAAAGTCTGGTTCTAAGGGAACTGTTTTATAAGCAGCTAGAACTTGGTTATCCTTTCACCACATCCGATGATTTCTGCACAACCTTGCGCGTGATGTATAATCATTCAAGAGAACAGTTTAAGATACTCTAGGCTCAGGGGGGGGGAGACTATACCGCGTGCATGATATTGGGACTCAAAAATCATCACTTTCATTAGGTTTTGTATGTGCAAGACACTATAGTAGACACCTCCGCAAATAGATGGCGATATGTAACACGTATAAACTAATCAAAAACGAACACAATGTACATTACGCTATACATTTTTCAACAATTGGACACCGTCAGTCATGTCCGATATTGTATAGCTAATGTCTAGTGTGGCGCTAACAGCCAGATCCGCGCTTTTAGACACGTACTTAAATCTACACATGGGTACGCAAAGTGCGCCCCATGACCCAGTGCGAAATTATCCGCCGCGCATGGCCTGTGCTCCTGGAGCACGCTAAACATAGTGAACTTGGATTCTTTGCACACTTTGTTGATAAATTGTTTTTTGCATACAGTTCTTGCTGTATTTGCTTGTTGGCATAGAGTCGATTGCAGTGAAATGCTAACAAGTATGTTTTTTGCTGGCAGTGAAGGCGACGTGACCATCCAGTTGTGAAAGTATCGGTGTTTTTCCAAGATCCATGTCACAAATCGTAACGTGAAGTATATTGTACGGAACGAATTCCTATGATGCTAGAGTAACTTGGTTCGGATTAACTAACGCATGTTTGTTCTCGAAGTTTTTGCTTCTATAAGCTGATTCGTTGGCAAAAACATTCTAAAGGGTTCTGTTAGTTTATTGGGTAGACTGATCAGTACCACATTGTCTTTTGTTTCTGACATGCGTTCATAGCCGGAACTGTATTGAGGGCGAACGGCATCTCATACAGTGCTGGCCGAAAGTTTGCAGCCACTCCAGAGTTTTGCCATATCTTACTCTGTTTCGCATAGAACGATTCCAAATTATGAAATTACGTGCATTTCACACTACTTAACACTATGTCAAGAAATTTTGCAGTTACATGCACACCGAAGGGGTCTTTGGGGAAAATGGTGAAAACGGCTGAATTGAGGTTGGTCAAAACTTGCAGCCACTTTCTTCTAAATGTCTTTGAAAAACTTGTCACAACTTGTCACTTTCCAATATGTGGGCTACAAATGCACCAATAAACCTTGAGATATGCAGTGCAGCCGGCTTTCATCAAACTCCCAAAAAGGGAACTTTACGGAGCAAAGTTACTTGAGCGCAAATTGACCGCAAAAATTGATTAAATCACGAGGTCGTTGAGAAATCGTCGGCTGATCCATGCTCTTATGAAAAGGTTGTACCATTTGGACGTTTAAAGGCGGTTTGCGAATGTGACAGAAAAGGCATTACTTGGCATGTTTCAAAAACTACCATCAGCCTTAACTCACATTCGGAGCACCTTTCGGCTCAAAAATTGGGCTCAGCGCTCTGAGAAGTTCTCAAACTTGACTAGAACATTGCTTTGAGAAAGACGAGCATTGGTCCGGAGCTCGAAGAGTTCTACTGGAAACATGGAGGCGCTACTGTCAGGGAAAAGTTTTTGCAATTATCACACCTAGGAAATGTTTGATTTGAGAAAGGGTTTGATCAGCTGTGAAGATTGTGCAAATTTTTTTCTGGCAGTAGCGAAACCATGTTTTCATTGAAGTTCTCCGAGCTTTGGACCAATGTTCGTCTTTGTGAGAGCATTGTTTTAGTCAGGTTTGAGAATTTCTTAGACCGCTGAGCCCAATTTTTGAGCCGACAGGTGCTCTGAATGTGAGTTAAGGTTATGGTAATTTTTGAAACATGCCAAGTAATGTCTTTTGTCTCACATTCGCAAACCGCCACTAAACGTCCAGATGGTACAACCTTTTCATAAGAGCATGGATCAGCCGACGATTTCTCAACAATCTCATGATTTAATCAATTTTTGCGGTCAATTTGCGCTCAAGTAACTTTGCTCCGTAAAGTTCCCTTTTTGGGAGTTTGATGAAAGCCGGCTGCACTGCATATCTCAAGGTTTATTGGTGCATTTGTAGCCCACATATTGGAAAGTGACAAGTTGTGACAAGTTTTTTAAAGAATTTAGAAGAAAGTGGCTGCAAGTTTTGACCAACCTCAATTCAGCCGTTTTTACCATTTTCCCCAAAGGCCCCTTCGGTGTGCATGTAACTGCAAAATATCTTGACATAGTGTTAAGTAGTGTGAAATGCACGTAATGTCATAATTTGGAATCGTTCTATGCGAAACAGAATAAGATATAGCAAAATTCTGGAGTGGCTGCAAACTTTTGGCCAGCACTGTATGAGTGAGAAAAACCATCAGTGTATCAAGCGCACAGTAAGTGCTTTCCAGAACTAAAGTCCTCGGTAATGGTTTCGCGTAAAACTTGACATACATGCTTGTTGGAATAAAAGAGAGAAGTAAACTTTCTCTATTAAAAACCATCTAGTGCCTTTAACTGGAAGTCATTGATGCAATCGTTTTGTGGATCAGTTTATTCTCCTAGCAGAACATATAGACCAAACTTTTTTGAAGGAAAATCATAGAAGCAGCCTGCATTTCTAAGGAAGCTGTTTAATATACCGATGCGTGCTTTGCAAGGTGTAGGGATGAATCTGTGGTGGATCTGTGAGCTGTAGACATCTGACAGAATACGTGCATAGGTTTTTTGACAGCCGAAACATTGCAGTGCATATTTTACAACTGATGCTATCGACAAGTGTTTACAAATCTGATCAATATGAGTCAGAGACTGCTCCCTGATCCAACGATACGCGCAGCTGTTGGTATCAAAATTCAGGTTGTAAGCATGATTGCTGACTTTGTATATGTAGTTTGTCGCGTTGATAACTCCCTATCGGCCAACCACTAGCCTACACGTTCCTACTTCTTGGCAGGTGCAAATAGCTGCTGAATAGCGATACTCATGAAGAACAGGCATGCATCCAAAATCATCTCGAACCAGACTTGACCTTCAGGCCAATAGAACTTTTAAAATTGTTGCGGAGCAAGTTCCAAACATCTGTCGAATACCAAAGCTTGGTAAAGTTAGGGAAAAAGCAGATTAATCCTCTTCGCTTTTCGTGAGAAGCCAACATTGGCACCACACAGAGCAGTAGGATAAAATTTGAAAATGTACAGATTCAATGAGGGAAGCTAGGCTCAGACTTCAAACAAAACTCGCCTGCACATGCGAAGAATAGATCAATGGTACTGTTATCCAACTTGGGAGGCGTGCAAGTGTTACCCAGCCAGCCGCCAGAGCTGGCACCAACGCCGCGGTTGAGCTACCGTAAGCGCGCTCTCGTCATCGTCAACCTCTCGCAGAGAGATTTTCGCAGCAGCCTCGCACCTCATCGCGCTGAGGTGCGAGAATTACAGAGGTTGCGCTACTCCCACATATTATATATCGATCAAGAGAGCAGAAAATTCTAAGTTTATTAGTAAGATACAATACAAAAAATATACAAAAACAAAAAAGTTCAAAGAAAATAAATTGATGGAATATTATAAAATTAAATTAAAAACATGTTATTATGGAATGAGTTTTGTTCCTTTACTAGGTAATTCCTCGTCTCTTTTTTTAATCTCAAAATCAATGAATTCTCGATTTTCATAGCTGCATCTTCGCAGATCACTAAGGTAGAAATGAATAGTATTGCTGAAGAATTAAGAAGTTGACCAGATGGGGAGGATTTTTTACAAATCCGATTGCTAAATATTCATATCTAATACTCCGATGTAATTATTGTGGTAAATGCCCACACATTATTTTTGCAAATCTCCTGAATTTTTGAAAAATTAAGACAGTCATTAAAATCGGACTGAAAGCGCTGATCGGGGACGGCGTCCACGAGTTGAATCCCATAACGATTTAAGCGGGGGGTAAAAAAGGACAATTATGCATCGTTCACGCAATGTGTGGCGGAGGATCTGAAATTCGTGAAAAATTTCAAAATGACTAAAGGAAAATTGAAAAAGAATTTCAGGTCCCAATTTTATTCGCCATCACACAAAAGGAATATCGCGCATCTTACAAGTTTATTTTTGACCGCCTGAAAGAGAAATTAGGAAGTGGAAATTTTAGAATAATTCTAGATTACGAGAAGGTGATGAGATTTTTTTGTATTTTTTATTGCTTGAAAAATATGAATAAATGAATATGCTTGAATATGCTTTCAATTTGATTTTATAATTATTCCATCAATTTATTTCCTTTGAACTTTTTGTTTTTGTATATTTTTTTATTGTATCTTACTAATAAACTAAAAATTTTCTGCTCTCTTGATCGATATATAATATGTGGCAGTAGTGCAACCTCTGAGGGAATTCTCGCACCTCAGCGCGATGAGGTGCGAGGCTGCTGCGAAAATCTCTCTGCGAGAGGTTGAGCACGACGAGAGCGCGCTTACGGTAGCTCAGCCGCGGCGATGGTGCCAGCTCTGGAGGCTGGCTGCGGCACCAGGCGGCTGCCTGGGTAACACTTGCTACGCACCCATCCAACTTTCAAACAGACAAACTTTGATAAATACATGAGACGATGAACCGTTCTAACACTATACTACAAGAAGAAGGAAACTTCAGAAAACCTCTAATGCTTCTAATTATACTGAGAAAAATGTTTTTGTGGAATTTCACCTCACCTCATCTAAGACAATATGTGGACAACCTGCAAAAACTGCTGAAGCATTCATATTACGTTTGTCAAAAGCGTAGAGAGTCAAGTCCACACTGTCTAGCGTGCTCCAATAGCGAGAATTTGCGCGCCGGAGAAATTCGCATTGGGGCATGGGGCACGCTTTGCGCAGCCATGTGTAGATTTAAGTACGTGTCGCTTTTAGTAGGTGAAACATAATAAATAGCCCGATACAAAGTTCGAAGTTTTGCGTAGATGTTATCTCGCATCAATCGAATGTCAACAAAAAAATGTAGAGCAATCTAGGCAAGCTATCGGTGTGTGATGTACTCAGTCATCAAAGTTGCGAGTAAACAATGGACGTTAAGTGATGAATGATGTACTGTGCGTTGAGGTCTGCAATGATGGTATATAGCCTGAAACGTTCTCGCGCAATTCTATTTGCAGTGCGCTATCCCTAGGCAACGAACTTCCTTTCATTTTTATGCTGCTGCTATACAGGGCTTATCAATTGCATAGTCGGGTGCACCAGCATTTCCGCTCATGCGTGGCCGCCTCGTCTGGACCCTGCGTCTCTATCGCAAACATGCTCCTTAATCGTTTCTGCATGCTTAATTAGCAAATGAAGCTCCGCCTTTCCCATGCTGCTGGTGGGAAAGTGATACTGGAGTGTTCGCGGAAAAGGTGCAAAGTCCAGGCGAGGCGGCGGCGCAGAAGCGGAGAAGCTGGTGAACGCGGCTCTGCGATTGATAGACCCTGTCTTATCCTGCGACCGACCGGTGCAGAAATGCGAAAATTGAAAAAAGCGGTTTTTGAAACAAACTATCGCACAGCCAGCGGTAACACGGCCAAAATCAACCGATATTCCGTGAGTTCTAGGCCTTAGGCATACCGCAAGATATGAAACTGATATCATGATTTCGCTTAAGCTCTCAATCTGCGCAAAATATTCTTAGATACAAAAAATATGCTATACCTCCCTATGACGTGATGATACAGAGCTCTTCCTGCACTCAACGGCGGCGATTGTCGCCGGGTCGCGATAAAGTGCAGCAGCAATCGAATGAGGCAGTAGTCGCATACGTTTTGCGAATTCAGCGTCGCCCCACCAGCAGTCAACACCTTCCGGTAATCTCGTGCCTTCCGGTAGCTTCGTGCTTGTGCTCGTACCCGCAATAACACGAGGAAACTAAAAGATAGTATAGACAGATTCTGTACTTGAGTCATTTGTATGTAGTTCAATATCTGCGATTACACCACGCGCTGCACCGAACAAGTTGGGCCCTTCCGAGCAACCGAAGCATAAAGATTTAGGTTCCCAGTTAATATTCAATGCTGGAGAGGTCAGTCTGGCCAACAAATTCCTTGACAACAGATTTACACTCCATGTATTTTTTTGGGTGTTTATCACTTTTATCACATTTTTATTCACGAAAAGAAAACAAGAGAACACTGATTTTACAAAGCGTTTAACGAGGCCAGCGCCGCATAGTGCATTCACATTCACACATCTACGCGCGAGCGTTACCTACGCTCAGCGTGCAGGGACCAACTGCGCAAAACATCACGGGCCTTGTTTTTATCATTGTACCTCGTGATTTTCCTTTTAGCAATGGACTGCCATTTTTCGCTTCTGTGCTCACATGCGATATCATGTCTTGATACCGGATATGATTTTTTCGCAGCATAGGAAGGAAGTATCAAATCTTTGAGCGTTTTTCCTCATGATACCTTTCATTTCATCCAGGCCTTCTTTGGATGACTGAAGACCGGATGTTATGATTCATTATATCGACTCTGTTTCAACGGACATAATTGTATATCGCCTAGGTTTGAGCTAACAGCGCCAATGCGGTGTTCACCCAAACTGTTCTCTTAGTCATTACGATATACGACTACTACACCTCACATATTCACCTTTAGCTGTAAAGAGGAAGAACACTAACCCTTCTCAGAATTCACAAATGAATTAATTTTGATTACATCTTTTTTAGACTTCAAATCTCCATTTGGTCTTCCATTCTCACGGTGATACTTTAAGAGATATCAGCTCAGACAAATGACCGGAACTTCCGCAGAGTGCTTGCGGAAGTTCCGCCGGGTCGCCTGCGGAAGTTCTGTAAACGTGCTGCGGCAGCTCCGAAGAATGCCAACCACAACAGCAAAAAAGAACACCGAAGCGAGATTTGAACTTCACTCTATTGACTGTGAGACCCCACCTACTATCCTCTAAGCTACGGCTGACATGTTCGATAATGCACTCTAATTGCTGGCCAGGCAACATCACGAGACAACACATTCAAAGTCCTGCGGAAGTTCTGGCAGGCCAAAGTGCTGCGGAACCTCCGGCATTTTTCGAAACTCCCGCAAGATATTGAAGAAGGTTCTGCGGAAGTTCCGATTTTCGACCAGTCTGGCATGAAAATCACGCGGAAGTTCCGATTTTCAAAGTCTTCATTTTCGCGATAGTGAACAAAATCCCGCGGAACTTTTGTAAATTTGGCTTGTCCTGCGGAAGTTCCGGTGATTTGTCTGAGAGGGAGTACCGAAGTAGAGTTTCAGACAGTAAAAGCTCAGTAATTTGGAAGCAGGACAGCTAAAGCTAAGAAAGAAGCAGGAAGATTAGCCAAAACAAGGACCACGCCGATTTGTGCGGCGTGGTTCCTTACATGCTGCAGCCCACGGTAGCGCTCGCGCGCAAGTGTGTGACTGCACTACGTGGCGCTGGCTCCATCAAACGTACATTGTACACAATGATGTATACATTTCGAAATAATAAATGCAGAGATTATCATTCCCAATTTTGTACATAAAAACCTGGAAGGACCAGAAGGAGATGCTGAGATAGCTGAACAAAAAATTTAACAGTTTTCAGCTTGCGTGTGTGCAATCGCACAGGCTGATTTAACACGTTTCGGACCGCGAAATCGCGCGCGGCGAAAAAGAGGGTACTTTTCCCGTTAGCCAACAAAAGGACCTTAATTCGTATACTGTGTGCTACATCTGTAATCAACATGTCAGATAAGGTTCATACCCAGAGTTCTGAGTGAATTCGAAGTGTTTGAATTTTGTCGCCTGAGAAGGACTTCTGTACTTTCCTGTAAGATAGGAACAAGAACTTAGTTTCTAATTGTATCCAAAAGTATCTATGTTGTACACGATATACATTACTATTAGAACTACGGTTTTTCCCTTCCTATTCAAAGCTAAGAAAAGGTGCGACGTCGCACGCGTCGTTCGCGTTGCCGCACTTCGTTGCAACTGCTGTTCGATTTGTGCTCATATCTTCTAAACAAATATCGGCTGCACAACTTTACAGAGTCATCTGAAAAGTAGAAGCTTAGGCCTTTGACTTGATAACCTTGGACAAAAAGAAAACCTCCTGTAAACGTTGAAAAGGTCCTTCGAATGCGCGTGCTGCACATGGTGCAGCACCCTGCTTTGAAGGATCTTTTCGACGTTTACAGGAGCTTTTCTTTCAGTCCAAGGTTATCAAGTCAAAGGCCTAAGCTTCTACTTTTCAAATGACTCTGTAGAGTTGTGCCGCCGAACTTTGTTTAGGAGATATGAGCACAAATCGAACAACAGTTTCAACGAAGTGCGGCAACGCGAACGACGCATGCGACGTCGCAACTTTCCTTTGCAAAATTCAAACACTTGGAATTCACTCAAAACTTTGGGTATTGAGCTTACTTGACATGCTGATTACAGATGTGGCCCACATGCTACGAAATAAAGTCCCTTTGTAGGCTAACGGCTGAAAGTACACTCTTTTTCGCCGCGCGCGATTTCGCGGTCCGAAACGTGTTAAAGCAACTTGAGTGTAACATAGCTAGTGGTCACATCCTTATAAAAGTTTCATAAGAATCAACGATGTTGACTGAGAACTCGTAGGCTTAAAAAAGTAAAGTAAAATAAGGTAAACTTTACTGACCATCACTGAAAACAGCTTGCAAACAAATGTACAGGTTGCACTAGTAGAGCCCCCAGGAATCTGCGTTTCGCCAAAAAACGCCACTTCACATGTCCCTACCTGTCTACAACCCCAATCTTGCTTTAACTAGTCTTAACATAAATTTTAGTTTCAGAAAGGTTTCGACAGGTTGTACACGATACCAAAGGCTATGTCTAGGAATGGAGGCCTATAGGTTTTTTGACACAACTACAAATAACATGCTTACAAACTAGTATCTGACTGTATACTCGCCAGCAATATTTACGCGTGAAAAAACGGCCAGGCGCGAAACAGCCGCAAACCGATTATTACAAACGTAACAATTTTCTTCCACGCACGTTATCGGCGAATATCGGCCGCATGAACACTGCCCATTGGTAAAAATGGGTAAAAAACGCTGAAGGGGACACGGTATATTGCCTCAGTGGCGCGTCATCAACGAACCCAGTGGGTTTCGGAACCCAATGGGTAGGCTTAACCTACGAGACCCGGTATTAACGAAACTTGTGGGTATGCGAACCCAGTGCAGCACTTGTGCATATCAATCCTACCCAACGGGTTCGCGACCCTCGGAGTGCGCTGGTTCGTTGATGATTACGGCCACAAAAGGTGTTGGTGGTAATTAGGCCGCTGAGCCAATAAACCGTTTTCTTAGTCGACTTTTGTAGGTAATCTCACGCTTCTCGCGTTATATTTACTCAGCTTGAACACTGATTCAATTGAGGGATTCTGGTGTACCAAAATCCCACAACCCCATTTTCCTAGACACTGCCTTCAAACTCCACCCATGTTTTGATAACCCTCGGACATTACCATACATTAGCAGACCCCAAAATGACGATCATTTCATCCAAAATTAAAATCGTGGATTTTCACCTGAGGCATATATCCTATTACAGACGCACAATGGCACTATCTTTCGGTTTACAGTCCATGGGTAAGTGAGAAATCCAGGATTTGCTCAGGACTTTGCCTGAGAGTTTTCCAGAATGCGACTTACTTTCCTGCCTGAGTAAACATTATATGTAGCCAAAGCTATGAAAAAGTTCTCTTCTGAAGTTACCAAAGCGTAATCACTGAACTTCCTCAAATTTAGCAGGAATCAAATTCGGTATGTGATGGTTTAGAGGAGCACCTACCGTATTACTTCCCGAAAAATTATTCCATATTGAAGACTAGCGAACCAAGTAACCTCCCTGGGCAGAGTTACAGCTATTGAGTTAGCTAGTTTAATATATACTATAGTGCCCCTTCGTAAACACCTTTTGTATGGTGAAAATTGAAGTCTTTGCATGCCAGCTCTATTTGCATAAAAAAAGAAGCGAACATCAAGAGGCTTTGCGATATTTGATGAGAACGCAAACCCGTTCATCATTGAGAACAAAAAGAGACGGTGAAAACACGAAAACAGTTGCTTCGATCTGATAGCGGCTGGCATGCTTTTACGCACGCATTGCAATTAAAGGTACGGCTGGATAAGATAGACAAAGGAATTAAAGGAAAAAGGAATTGCAGGACATCAAAGTTGTAGTTCAGACTGAACCGCTATAATCTATACAAAATAAAGGATAGAAAACCGCTAAAATAGACATTCGATCAATATCATTGAGTACGAAGTTTCTAGCATCCATCTACTGATAAGACAGTTGACGCAGTGACCCTTAGCCAGCACGTTTTATAGAGTTTAGAAGTTATCTGCGCCTAAATTCCTTTTTTAGAACTTTTCCAACAAACCGGAAAAAAACCTTATCAGTGTGGGTCAGTAATCAAAGCAAAGAAGGAAGCCTGATAGGGCTGCTTCCTACATATACGACACAAAAAAGGAATGATAAAGGTCTGGAAAGTTCACGTAACACTTCAAAGGCTAGGTGATGTAAACAGATAGCTCACGTTTGCAAAAACAAAAACGGATCAACTCTGTCAATGTTAGCCAAAAATAGCAACAGGCGCGTACCTGCACAAGTGCATTCGAATTCAATCGAATCCGCATGGTGCTTTGACGACGCGTTCTTTGACAATAAGAACTATACAGATGTACCGAAGCTGTAGGCGACGCTTATGATATTTTCGTTCTAACAATCAGTTCCTATCGCATAACTAAATATTAGGATAAGGAACGAACGCGCGCAGAAACGACGAACTGAACCGAAAACTGTAGATGGAGAGATAATTGGCACCAGCGAACAAAAGAGGAGAGGTTGATGTATTCTTTGGATTTCTCAATGATTTAAAAGAGCGTAATGGCGAAATTAGAGAGTGAAGTTATCGACTAAGCAGATCAAATTGTTACACTGCTCAGCACGACTGTATCATAGCGCAATTGAGAAAGAAAAAGATTTGCCGCTCTGTGTGAGTGATGCTCGACAGCACACTTTGGGGGAGGGTATAGGGGAACGAACACTCGAGGGTTTGATGGTCATCAATACACGTCACGTATCACATGTTTGATGTAATGAATTTTGTTCGTATGAGGAAAACATAAAAAAAACATCACGCTCCAAAACAGTGAGCTCGCGGAATGTGGCATAGTTTTCAAAAAAAGCCAACGCTTTTCTAAAGCAATGGGCAAAAGATAAATACTGTAATAAATATGGGAACAACCATATAAAACTTTCACCTACCGCGGATCTACCGAAAAACGAGAAAACACCATGCACATGGGTTTCAAGTAGTTCAAGTATGTACTATAGTTAGCACCGAATATTCGTGTTCGAATAATTTATTCGAAACATTCGACTATTCGAATATTCGAATAGTCGAATATTCGAGAAAGTCCATTTATTCGATTATTCGAATAGTCGAATAAATGAGAAAGGCCTGTATTCGAATAATTCGTTCATTCGACGATTTCGAAAAATGACTTATTCGAATATTCGTTCATTCGAAAAGTTTCAAAAAAGGTTATTCGAATATTCGTTCATTCGAGTAGTTTTGAAAGATAGTTATTCGAATATTCGAATATTCGAATATTGCATTCAAGTATTCGAACAATATTCGAATATTTATTCGAAATTAGTTCGAATATTCGATCAAGTTCGGTTATTCAAGTATTCGTTCATTCGAATTTTGGAATGTCCCAATATTCGAATATTCGAATTCGAATAAAATGAAAATCGAAAGTCGAATAATATTCGTTCATTCGAAGAATTTTCGAAAATCAAATATTTGGTATTCATTCGTTCGAAAAATTTTCGAAAATCAGTTATTCGATATTCATTCGTTCGAAAAATCTTCAAAAATTGATTATTCGATATTCGTTCATTCGGCAAAAATTTCTGTTCGTTACAACTATACTATGTACAACAATCTTATATATAAAGCTGAATGTCTGTTTGTATGTCTGTGTGTATGTCTGTCTGTCTGTACGTATGTTCCGAATAGAAAATTCCATTTCTGAACCGATCGGGACCAAACTTAGCACACATACACTTCGGGCACCGGCGGGTGTCATAGGCTACTTTTCGTCATCGATCGATATCGATTTTATCGATTTTTATCAATTTTTTTGCGGAGATCACCCCCACGGGGGTGATCAGCATGCTCGATTACCCCCCTGTGCCAACTTCCAGCCCCGTAGCTCAAATTTTGCAAAAAATCGATAAAATCGACATCGATCGATAACGAAAAGTGGGCTGTGACACCCGCCGGGGTTCGAAGTGTATGTGTGCCAAGTTTGGTCCGGATCGGTTAAGAAATGGAATTTTCTATTCGGAACATACGGCGGAGCCGGGTAAGCCAGCTAGTTATTTATAAAAGCGTGCTGTGTGACACTTGATTTTCTACTTTTGTCATTTGATGTAAATACATTTTGCACCAAAAACCAGTTCACTATGAAGGAGACAGTCTTTTTGCGTTCACCATTCATCAAATTTATCTAAACAGCCAACAACTTGTCTTCTCACGAAAAAAAAACGAGCAATCGTCCAAAGTTCCTCTAAAGCACCAATATGGAGTAGTTCTCCATTGTAATACACTTATTTGAATATCCAACTTCATTTTCTCAAATCCAAGATCGCTAAGAACCGCCAAGTATTAATTACACCTTAAAGGCAGCGGACAGGCAAAATGGACCCCTGTCAGATTTTGGTAGTTTCGGGTAGTGGACCCCCCAAGTACACCGTAGCCCCAACCCCACATTCCAATTCATGCGCTAAGTCCTGAAAAAAGCGCTTCAAAACTCCACCAGCCCCGCCCACTTCCATTGAGTGGGCGTTATTGGTGGAAGTTTGAAGCGCTTTTTTCAGGACTTAGCGCATCAATTGGAAGTTGGGGTTGGGGCTACGGTGTACTTGGAGGGTCCACTACCCGAAACTACCAAAATCTGACAGGGGTCCATTTTGCCTGTCCACTGCCTTTAACGCTCAGCACGTTCGTTAACATCGTCAAAACTCTGTTCAGTCATTACTCTACCGAGAGTCTACAAAACTGCAAAAAGATTCACCGAGTGGCAAGTAATTGCAAACAAGTCTGTTTAACGACCACTTGAATAGAGTTGTAGAATTTGTTATCGTCCAAACACATGACCACGTTTTTAAAAGCAGTCATTTCTCTTCTGAATAATTCATAACTATGTATATAGCACGTATTTCACAGAATGTCACTGCAGCCAACAATAGAATAGAATTAATTATTATTTGTTTAGTGAAAGCACTGTACAAGAACAACTGCGAAGCAACGGCATCAAATGAGATAAGATACGAACAGAGTTACATAAGTGAATTGCCATTGTAAGGTATATTTTACGAGATTATTGAGATTTTGATGAAATGCGCATCATACGCGATGTTAATGATAAGCACATATAACAAAACCCCCGAAAGTTATAAGAGACAGGGTAATCACTGGGTACATTTCAAGAAAACATATACTCCCAAGTATCACCAAACAGACCATCCGGATACATTGGGCTATCACAAATGGAACAATATGCAGAAAAATTGTACATGGAATGGATATCACGCGGATAGCTGGAGAGACAAAGTGACTGGAGAAAGTGCTTGGGAAATCACATTATCAGAGGAAAAGAGGCATGCATTTGGATGATAAGATGCTGCAACACCCACAAAGCTATTTCTAGAAGACTGAGAAGAGTGCAGGGAATAACAATTGCAGTGGAGCAAAAAAAAGAGTGAGCACTTTACAAAACCTATAGTGTGAGCATGTTTAACAGAAAACGACGTTATAACATTTAAAAAGATGATTCAGGCATCGGAAAACCTCCTGCTTACGAAAAACATCACGGGCATGTGACGCATGGGCGTCTTGCCACAGATTCCAAACGAATCAGCTTTACACCAGCCATGAATCGGGCGTAAGCATTAACCAAGTTTTTTGGGCTTTTTGGATCAAGATCCACAATTTTCACCGAGTAAGCAAAGCACAGTCCTAAAAGAGTAAAAACGTTGAATGAAAAAAGGTGAAAAAACTTTTAAAACGATCCTTCAAAGAAAGACATGTTGCGAACATCAAGAGTATTGAATAGCTCACCGTTGGCTAGCCTGATCATTTGCGCATCATCAGCGGAAGTGGGTGTGCGGAATGTTCCTGATGGGACAAGTCGGAATGAAGCCATGATCTATAATTTAAAAAGTCAATCACTGCAGACTCTCACCAGGCAGATTGTAGTATCAAAAGCACATTTCGGAACATTTATGACGCCTCATACACTTGCATGACAGGTGAATGAATGGGATTGCCTTTGAATAGGAGAATTACACACTGTATATCGTGAAAAAAACTTGATTTCTGTTGCAATGTAGCTATCATTTAGAATACCTGAACCTAACAAGCACTCACCGAGCAGTCTTTCATGGTCGCAGCAAGCAGGTATCTTTCCAGCAATGATCGATCATCGGTTGCATCCAAGATCTCCAAGCCTCTAACAGGTAGTCGATTTTTGTTCAAAAGTTCTTTCTAGAAAGGTCGAACATAGCAAGCAACATTACGTGAAGATGATAACCAACCTGAGCACTGGCAGGTAGATTCTGGAAGATCTGATAAGCCCTTAGAATGCCGACCGAATCAATCTTCTGCGCCGATAGGATCTGTCCAAGAACAGAATGATCGCGAATGGAAAAGTCGCGCACGTCCGTGCAACCAGCCAGAACGAGACACAGCTAAAATACCAGATATGACACCCGGAATTCAAATAGACTTTCGGAAACTTACCGCAACCATGAGATCATCAACATTTCCTTGTCCGCTAGGAAAAAGGGTTGGAGTGAAAAGCGCAGGATCAAGTGGAGACTCATCCGAGTGGATCTGAAAGCCAAAATCTCTGAAAATCAGTTTGGAACAAGTGAATGAGCCCATTACAGAATCAATCAAACGCAAGAATAAAAGCGAGGTGTACGAAAAATGAGCATCTCTATTCAAAACCGGTTCCTACTTTCGCTTTTTACAAGTTTCGAGACATGATTGGAGAGGGCATTTACAATTTTGCTTACAAACAATTTTTGTGCATCACTACTCCCCTCCCCAGCCACTGTTTCACTGCAGACTGACGCTACGAATGAATTCAAGCAGGGACGACTTGCCAGATTTATGCGCTTATTGTATACTGTGATTCTTGCTGATACTTCATACAAGTTATGGTGCAACTGTGAGTGTCTTATTTGACAAGGATATGTCTAAGAAAGCCCATTAAGAGGACACTTCCAGCTTGGAAGATTTTGAATAATCGGATACTGTATTCTACGAAAAAAAAACGTGCAGTTTCCGAACTTCTCAATACATGAAGTTCCTACCAAGTTTCCATCAGTGAAAAGACGCAGATTCCTGTGTGGAACTTTCATAAGAGCCTCTAGCGACGACTTCATTCTTGAAAAATTGCCCGAGTAAAGATCAAGCGGGCAGAAATCGTACATCTGCTCGAAATGGTCCGAACCGCATTTTTCGAGCTATAAAGAGGTTTTTTTGCAGAGAGAAACCTGGATAAAATCTACTGATAGATAAACATACCTGCAAAATGCAATTGTTGCAATACGGAATGTCCATAGAGAGATGGTTTTGATAGAATCCTTGCTTCGGTTTTATTTCTACCTAAAAACTTGGCATTTCACGAGCACAAACTCGAGATTATGTGTTTCAAAAATTAAAGAAAAACATACCGTGATAGTGGGGCCGATGTACGAGATCAGATGCTTGGGGATTCTAGTGGCATCAAGCATTTCCAAAGCAGAGAGCCTCAGCACATTTCTAGGGATGTTAGCGAGTGGTAGGAAAGAAAGATCGCTTGGAAGTGCTAGAAGCTCGTCGAACTGCTCGAGCTTCAGATTTGCAGGTAGAGATGGGATCTAAGAAAGTACGTTGTGAGAAGCGCTAAATGAGTACTGTAGGAACGAAAATAACAACCCATTACCTTAGCAAGTTGGTGCACATCCTCGGCGTTCATTTCAATGATTTTCGGGCTAACGAGAAACACAGAATCGAAAAAGGGGGAGACCATTCGCTCCATATATTGGTTGACCAACTCGCTCTTTGCTTTCCATGTCAAAAGACCACTTTTTCTCGCTTTGGCGAATCTCCACACGATCCTGAATAAGCATATTATAAATAACAGAAACTAAACCAAAAAAATTCATATCCGCTATTATCCTCCATTATATCTATTGAGCTTGGCTCAAAGCTACGAAGATAGGGGTGAACCAGATAAACACAGCAAACCAAAAATGACCCGAGACCCCCGCCAGACTTCCCTCGAAAGAACTCAGAAGCGCCCAAAGACGCCCAAGGTTTTCTAACCCCTCTTCACTTTCACTCATCTCTCCACACACACACAAAAATGAATACAGATTAAAGAAATTGGACGCTTTTGGGCGCTTTCGGGCGAAGTTTAGCCAGTGCCAAAGGAGTTTTTGAGACTTTTGGAGGCTTTGGAGCGCTTTTGAGCGAAGTCTGGCCGTAGCCTGACAACTCGTCGCAGGCGATGCATCTATAGGCAATTCATTGCAAGCAAAGACAGGGCGTCACTACGGACGCTGTCTGCGTCTAGCCAATCGGCGGTCCTTCACTCCTCTTGCGGTCTGCTGCCTCTCCCAAGCAAGAACTATCCCGGCTGGACGCAACAGCGTCCAGTCTGTGCGTGCGATGAATCGCCTATATCTTTTTGAAGTCTGTGTATTTCCGGTGTTATTCCAGTACAAGCCCCGGAATTCTGAAGTGACGGACAAAGTGACCTATGAGTGTCATCTTACAAGCTGATCAGATATTCCGCGTTGGCGCATAATGTTTCGATTTCATAGAGTTACGGTATGTATAAGCTCAGACACTCGCACCGGCCGGCGACCGTCCGACGACGGCCTTCCGGCTGGCGACCGTTCCATAAATCTGGGCGGAGCTAAATGCCGGCCGGTGACCGTTCCAAAAGATCATGCCGGCCGGCGACCGTCCCAAAAGATCATGCCGGCCGGCGACCGTCCCAAAATTCTATCTCCCAGTGTCTTAGCGTAAAGGATACTTGCGTGAGATACGGCGCATGGTTAGGCTACCCTCAATGCCTTGTATGTTTTTCAATTTCCGAAGCAGGAACAAGGCAACATGTTGTTTTATAGACAACCCTCGATAGTATCTCGGTGTTGTCGAATTTTAAAGTCGGACGTGGTCTCCGAAGCTGCTACATCAGCGGCCTTGATTTTTGTTCTTTGCAGTGTATTTTCCTATATGCCAGTGAATAAAAGACAGTTCTACCATGTAAAACAGTTCTACCGTTCCTCAGTATACACCGGCTGGCGGCCGTACCTTTCCGGCCGGCCCCCGTCCGAATACCGGCCGGAGGGCGTAGACTACGCAACTGTATGCAATGACATGTGGTCGCGCCAGCCGGTCTTTGTGCGGCCGCCGGCCGGTGCGAGTGTCTGAGAGGAAGGGTCAAATTTATAAATTTGGGAGATCTTGTCCAGGGTTTATTTAACAAGCTAACGGCTACCATGCTCTTACCAAATGGAAACGTCATTCGTAGTGATGGTATGATACTGTAAGCTGTCAAAAAAAAGAAAAGATGAAAAAGCCGACTCTTAAAGTAAGCAAGCGCCGGCAATAAACACTAACAGCGTTACCAAACCGTTGACCTGTGATAGCGGGGTGAACTTAGGCTGCGTTCATACTGATCCGGAAATTCGGGAACAGTTCCAGCACAGTCCTGAGTTCGAGCGCTATGATGGAACTATTACCAAACTTCCGACTCAGTATGAACGCAGCCTAAGTCGTATGCTTAACTTGTAACTAGAACACCGGAGTGATAAGAACAGTCAGAAAAATCCAACTTTACGAATCTGCTAAGTAAACAATGTAAAGAAAAAGTAGATAGTAAGATTAACGCCTAAAAACATACCTTATTCCTGAGGCTATATGCTTTGCACTAATAACAAAATTTGCCCTGCCTTCACCACGAAAACAGAATGCGCGATAATCCCGAGGATTGACGACATCAATAGAGGATTCAGTCCTCATTGATTCATTGACTAATCTGCAAGAATATAAACCATTTGCCTGAGGGCAAGTTACGCACGAGTCTCTCGAACATTGTGTTTTGTTTCGTTCAGCGCACGTGCGACACATGCGTGGCGAATAATAAAAGGATAGTACATGGAACAGAAATAGAATAATGATACGAAGGCTGCAGCAAAACACAATAAAGATGTCCCACACTGTTCTGCAAAGCAGGTGACCATGTGGACAGGAAATTGCATTCATAAACTCAACAGCTGTTGCTCAATGTCCTCGAAAAATTCGAAGACACTACGCTAGACTAAACAACAAGTAATTTCATTCCTGGGTACAGTTTAGTGAGCAGAAAACTTGTTTTTCACCGTATTTCGAGAACAGGAAAGTAACAAATATCTACTTTATCGAGCTGCTCTAGAAAAAGCGTTTTTTTAGAGGCAACAAGTCAATGAGGGGATTAACGTCACAAAAACGTGATGCTGCAACTGCACATCTTCCTTATTTCACGCCGGAAAAGTCGCAGAGGGTGAGGTAGGTGCCAGAGTAAGCGAATATTTTGTTCAAGTTGGGGTCCCGCGCAGAACTGGCGTTACTAATAATCATTGTGGCACACGCCATGTTGGCATTATGCCACAATGATTAGTGATGCCAGTTCTGCGCGGGTCCCCAACTTGAACAAAATATTCGCTTACTCTGGCACCTACCTGAGGCAGGTGCTAGACTTATCCACTTCAACCGGTGATCTGTTTTACCATCCGCTACTGGTCAAATCAAGGAAATGACCAGTAGCGAATAGGGTGAACCAGATGAACCGATTGCATCGGCTAAGCCTAGCGTTTACGGGAGCTACGCAACTAAAACATCCATGCCCGATGTTCTCTGCTTACAGTCGATGTCAACGACTTCTCGCCTTTACCACACAGCTGTAAGTAATTACATAAGAGCAGGTTTGAACCTCAATACCTAAGGCAATTCCCGGGCAAAAACTCGATTTTTTAAAATCCCTTACCTAGTTATCCGCTCCGCTGAATTCAAGAATACATGTTAAAAAGCGCGAAAACGGTGAGAACATGCATTTTCCAAAACCAACTAGAATTTGGACAAAAGGGTTAGTTCCCGCCAACCTGAGACGTAGAGTTGCTGCGGAACCCCTACGAGGCGGCATGCGTGCTCTGCGGATACCGGATACATGAAGGAATCTTCTGAAATCAAGTTCTTGCCCGGACAGTGACTCTAAGGCTCAAAAACTCTACAGAGTTTGGTCTATGGCTGTTCGAAAGCCACATAAAGGGCATTCGCATCAAAGGCAGTTGGTAAGGATTGCCGGCAATGATGAAGATATATAATATCTGCTGCATGACGAAGGCGGTTGCCCAAATAGGTTGAAGGCTGTTGCGCACGCGGCGCGCGGGCAATTGTCAACCACCGGGCGCGCGTACGCTCGGTCAGCGCGCCCGCAGCTCCAGTGGATGACCGCTAACTGAGCGTGCGCGCGCCCGGTGGTTGACAATTGCCCGCGCGCCGCGTGCGCGACAGCCTTCAACCTATTTGGGCAACCGCCTTCGTCATGCAGCAGATATTAAACAGTGAGTAGGCATTGACACAAATCTCGATATTGTGATAAAAAAGTTGTAATCTTAATTAATTCAAAGAAAGGAAGCGATGCGATTTATGTATATTACGCTGTGGTTTTGTCGGCGATGCTCTACTTTGCTTTGAAGGAGCTAGATATCCAAACGGTATAGACATAATGATATAAAATAGTAATGAAACAGAATCATGGAAGATAAATGCCCATAGGCTCCACGCAGACAAGCTACCGTTGCAACCGCTCACAGTAGGCTGTTCTCGACCTCTGTACCCCTAAGCACTTCTTATTGATGTTATTGTGATTGCCCGGGCGATCTTCGATCGGCGGGAAGCGAATAACAACGAGCGATCTCAGCCACAAATTACAAAGCCTCAAAGTCCCTACTAATAGATGGGAATGAAGATTTGTATTGCAACGGAAATAGAGCCCCTATTACAACATGTTCTATGTTGGTCACTTCCAACAAGGTGAAAAAACAGCATAGGAAGATGGGATTTCTTATGAAGAGCATGAAAGAAGGCAGCCTGAAGCGAACTTCAACTTGTGATTTTACTTTCTATTCTTATCTGGCTTTGATTCATTAGTGGCGGTGATTGACCGTGCGAGAGAGGAGAATCTACAATCTTAGACAATTCACCGGAAATTCCGCAGGACATACAAGTTTTGCAACGGTCCCGCAAAATCTTTTTGACTATTACAAAAGTGGAAACGTTGAAAATGGGAACTTCCGCAGGATCTCCACGTTAGACTGGTTGAGAACGGAAACCTCCAGAAGACTCTATACGGAAGCTGAGAAAATTCGGAGAAATGCCAGTGCAGCACTTTAACCTGCCGGTACTTCCGCGGGGTTTTGTAAGCGTTGTCTCGCCAACAGATAGAGCGCGTTGTCGAACATGTCGTCCATAGTGCAGAGATAGTGAGCGAGTCTCGTAGTGAATATAGCAAATCGAATTTCGCTAAGGTGTTCTCTTTTGCTTTGTGGTTCGCATTCTTCGGAACTTCCGCAGCACCTCTTAAGGAACTTCCGCAACACGTTGCCTGACTCCCCAGGTAACCCCGCGGGACTTCCCCAGCTGCCTCAGTAGCCTGAGGCGTTAAATTTGCTAATTTAGCGCAATGGATATTTCGAAGGAATGTTACCCTTTAAAGGCAGTGGGTCGGCAGAATGAGACCCGTGAGAAAACAAGGTCACAGGGTAGGAGCCCTATAATGGAACCTATGGGCCAAAGTCCGATCTTTCTCTGCCACTTCTAACCCCCGAAATTTCAAAGCGAAAGCAGCGCTCATCTCCTGTCCTCTCCGAACCCGCCCACCCCATGGACGAGTGACTTCCGCGGTCAGAGCGCCAGCCGCAATGCTATAAGCATGAGGTTCCGCAACGACTCTGCGTCTTCGCCATGACGGGCTTCGCGTTCACTCGTCCATGGGGTGGGCGGGTTCGGAGAGGACAGGAGATGAGCGCTGCTTTCGCTTTGAAATTTCGGGGGTTAGAAGTGGCAGAGAAAGATCGGACTTTGGCCGATAGGTTCCATATGGGGGCTCCTACCTTGTGACCTTCTCAGACAGTCGACAGGACCCCTCCGCCGGACAGTCGGAATCTGCCAGAGTCGCGCCGGACTCAGCTGACCAATGAGAGCGGGGCAAAAGGCGGTCCCTTCTTGTATGTCGCGGTGACATCACTGGCAGGCAAGTGGGACCCTTCTCCGGCCCTGCTGCAAAGGTACGCCATTTCTGCTCCGAGGTACGCCAGATTTGGCAGAGCCGCGCCGGAGAAATTTGCCCGCCGCGAGTCCGCCAGATTTGGAAGAGCCGCGGAGCAGAAAATCGGAGGGGTCCGGAGCACAAATGGGAGGTCTCCGGAGCACAAATGGGAGGGCCCCGGAGCACAAAATGGGAGGGCTCCGGAGCACAAAATGGGAGGTATCCGGAGCAGAAAATGGGAGGTATCCGGAGCAGAAAATGGGAGGTCTCCGGAGCAGAAAATGGGGGGCCTCCGGAGCGCAAATGGGTGGCCTCCGGAGCAGAAAATGGGAGGTCTCCGGAGCAGAAAATGGGGGGCCTCCGGAGCGCAAATGGGAGGCCTCCGGAGCGCAAATGGGAGGTCTCCGGAGCACAAAATGGGAGGTCTCCGGAGCACAAAATGGGAGGGCTCCGGAGCAGAAATGGGAGGTCTCCGGAGCAGAAATGGGAGGGCTCCGGAGCAGGAATGGCAGACACCCCGCTGGGGAAACCCCGCGGCCCTGCCATTTCTCCGCCGGAGGGGTCCTATCCGCTGTCTGAGTTGTTTTGTCACGGCTCTCATTCTGCCGATGTACTGCCTTTAAGCGAGCAGCAAAGAACAAGACAAAAATGTTTATTAGAAAACAAGAAAAACAAAACAATACGGAACGCCACCGTTCCGTGGCGTCGGAACACAAAACAATAAAACGAGAACTGGCCTGCGGCCTCGCGGAGCTCCCTGCCCTCTGATAGCGCGCCTTTGATCTAGATCTGCCTGCGCTTTCGGAGCCATGGGCCCGACATACAGTCTGCCCCAATCCCAACCAGGCCAAAATTGGCATGGCGGGAACCCGTGTCGCGGGGGTATTGCGTCACGTCTGCGGCTAGCCAGTCTGCTCTCTCCCCAATTTCTTCACTCTCTGCGACAGCGCGCGTATGCAGCGCAGAACCCTGGCGTTGCGAGCGCGCAAATTCAGTCAGCGGTTCGGCCTGATCCCGATTGGGGCAGACTGTATTAACATCTTTTGTTCCTGCACTTCAGATACGAGTATTATCATTTCAACGAACCGTTGTAAAGAGGCATAAATAGAAAGCATAAAGTATACGATTTCACGCTCCTTAAAAATTCTAGTGATTACGAACCACGAATTCAAAGGCCTGTCATTTTTAGGAGGTTTTTGACTTTGTAACCCATGCCTTAAAACCCACAACGACTATTTGATGTGCAGAAAGAATCTGGGTCAAGCAAAGCTATATACTATAGACTACGCTTTTACGGCTACAAGATATATGAGAGGTACTTGTGCGCAACTTTCTTATCTATTTTTACCATAATGTTTACATGACGACAACGAAAAGAAAACGGAACATGGCCTGTTACGAAATTCGCAGCTTCTCGTTTTGCAGAGTTACAGCGAAAAAAAGTGGGTAGAAAACGGGCCAAATTTTTTCTTGAACAAATTATGTCGGTTCAATAAAAAAAACGTCGATAGATTGGAATGAAGCCAGATGGCACGCTAATGTCTCACGTGAAAAATCGGCAACAGTGTGGAAGCAAACAGCACTGTTGATCAATCATCACCACTATTCCTGCACCTCCCCCGTGCCCCACCCTTTTTACGTCGTTTCGCAACGAAACTGGACACATCCTCGTTTACACCGGAAGTACAGTTGTAAAGGAGAAGGCAGGACTGACAACTGACTGAATGGGC